TGGCCTGGGACTGGGCCTCGGCACGCTTGGTGGGCGTCTGGAAGGTGAAGTGGAAGATGCCGCCCTCTCGTGCGTCCTCTCCGTTCTTCTTCCCAGCTGCGCGGCACGAGCGAGTGGATTTGATTATTATTATTATTTATAAAAATAAAATAAATAAATCGAAATTGAAATGCATGGATAGATTACCTGGACGGCCACGCTTCTTAGGTGCGGCATCAACGCATTCGTGACCGCGATTCAATCCCACACAACGGCGACATGGCCTCTGCCTGCACACACAGAATTAATCTGCTGTTGCCATCTCCATTGAGATTGCAGCAGAATTAAGATATACCCGTCACAGGCCGTATGTGCAAGGCGGCAAGCCTGGCATGCGACATGTCGCACTCCGTATTTCTTTGATGTGGTTTCCTCATCCATTGCGCTCGCCATGTCTGGTTGCTTGCGGGGAGTTGCTTGGTGTGGTGGAGTTCTGCCAGAAGGATGCGGCGGGGAATTCTTCGAAATGACTTTTCCCCATTAGGTCAAAAGCCCGGCTCGTTCCGCCGGATTTCCGTGATACCGATTAAAAAGAGCCAATGGCATCTCTCGCCGAAGCGACAAAGAGAAAAGCTGTGGTCGGAGAGAAAATGCAAACATGTGAAGATGGAGAAGGCAAAATGAAGAAGGGAGGATGGGATGTGGCTGTCTGCTGATGAGGTGGGCCGCGTAAGGTGGAGGTTGACTGTTCTCAGTTGCTGCGTCACTGGCGGGCCAAAGAAGAAGAAGGAGACACTCGTCTTCGCCAGAGGGAGGGTTGTCGTCGGCAGAGAGTGGCAGGAGGGCACGCGTCGGTGCCAACAAGTGTCAAGTCGTGCGTATGTACAGTTGTGGCGCTCTCGAGGTTGGTCGCTGTCGAGTTTAAGTCCGATCAGGAAGCGCTCAGCCGCTCGTCTGAACGAAGAGAAAACGAGACGTAAGAATCGGCGTTCAGTTTGAACCTAATGGGGGGGGGGACAAAGCGTTACCGTGGAGTCGCTGCTATCTTCTTCGGTGTCCTCGCTTTCCTCGCCTTCGGTTTCGCTCACCCACTTCTCGATCTCGGCCTCGAATCGGAACTCATCTTCGTCGTCATCGTGGTTCCTCTTGGTCTTGTAGTTGCGCTTGGCTCCAATCTGGCCAGAGCCGTAGTGGTGGTTCAAGCCCTCGGTGCGACTGCAGGCCAACAACCTGAGATCATGGACACCAGGGTGTGAGTCATGGGTTCATCCTAAACACATCGCACGATCCCTGCCAACCAGAGAGAAGAGGGGCAATACCAGGACTGTCGGATCTTCTTTACGCGGCGGGCGTTGGCGAAGGCCTGGGCCAAGGTCAGAAGCGAAGTCGCGACATAGCAGCTCAGGCGACCCTCGCTGCAAGAGATAATAGAATAAATACGGATTGCGATCCGAGAGTGAGTGAGTTCTACCGCTTTACGGCGTTGAGGCCAAAAAGGGTGAAGTCACGAACCTGTCGTATCTCCTCTCGAGCGCGACAATCAAGTCGGGCTTCTGGAGCTTGCGCGGCCTGACGTATACAGGTGCTAGGAACTCCAAATGGAAGGCGCCTGGATTGCAGAGCGATCAGGAATGGATCCACACACAAGAGTGGTCAAGAACAACTACGAACCTGAGGCATCGGCTCGCGACTGGGGAACGGCCAGAGAGGGGTCGTTTTGAAGCGAACGAAGACAGCGAGTGAGGGCGAAGTCGAGGCTAGCGCGCCTGTTAGGAGGACAAGTTAGCTGCCGCACGTTGACATGCCAGCCCACGCGATGAACGAAACGTACCTGGCAGTGTCTGTGACGAAGGCGAGTTCGTCCTTGGTGTAGGCGCACTGGTCGAATCTCTTGCAGTTGGCTTTGTTCTTGAGGACGTGTTCGGCGTTGAGGTAGATCTTGACGCCCGGTACGACGTAGAGGTCCTGCACGCTTTCGAAGTAGCGCGGCGGCGACGGCAGAACGTCGACGATGGTGCGTGGGGTCGAGGCGGTCGACGACGAGGCGGAGCTGGAGTTGCTCAGGCCGTACTTCTCGACCAGAGAGAACTCATCGCTCCAAGCATGGAATGCCCAGCGCTGAGGTGATGCGTAAGGCCACTCGGAGTTCCTGGTGAAGACGGCGTAGAGTGGCTCCTCGTCCTCCTTAGTGAGGCTGCCGAGATGGATGGCACAGCGCTCAACACGCCGCCCGCCGAGTTGCTTGTCTCTACGCTCAGCGGCGGTGAGGAACGTAGAGGGCTCCTCAGTCACGGTCGCTGCAGCGAGGAAGCGCACGATGTACTTCGGCACGTGCGGGGGTGCTTCGTCGACGCTTCTTCTGCCGTGCAGCTCCGCCTCGATGCGCTTCTCCTTGCGTCCCTGGTCGCGGTAGCCGTTCTCGGCGTCCTTCTTCTGTCGCTCGTCCCGCAGCATGGCTCGCTCCTTGCGCCGCTGTCGCTCCTTCCTCTCGCAACGCACGGCGCCGCGATTCTGCTCCTCCAAATATTCAAAATGGTGGCATAGGTAGTCGTAGAGCATCCCACCACGCGAGTCCTCGCGATCCCGGCCCGCAGGCTCGTAGTTCCACAGGTCGCGCTCCTCGCTGTCGATCATGCTCTTGAGCTCGGCGAGGTTCTGTACGAGGTCGGGGAAATGGGCGAAGGCGAGCAGCCGAGGCTCCTCGGTGATGACCATGTCGTACGACGGGGTTGGCTCAACCTTGCCGGTGCGTGCCTTTCTGGCGTCGTCCTTCTCGACTCTCCGCTTCTGGTCCTCCGTAGCCGGCTCGACGGAAGGGTGCGGGAGGAGGAAGTCCTGAAGAGTGTCTTGGCTCTGTAGATGAACCTCAATGCCCCGCTTGAATCGGTAGAGCACGCCCATGTCGTTGGGCCTGAGCAGGTGGCCGCGGTCGTCGCCACCCTCGGCGGCCAGTCTGCATTGCTCCTGCCACAGTTTGTGCTTGAGCTCGTCGACGGTGGCCGACAGCGGAGCGATGGTGCGGAACATCTCCTCGTCTTCGTCTTCGCCGTCGTAAGTTCGCCGCCTGACGATCCGCAGCGTCACTCTAGCGTCTCGGGCATCGAGGTCCGTAGGCGGCTTCTCCGAGGCGACGCTGCGCAGGAAGGTGGCCAGCCATGGGCTGAAAACTTCATACTTGTCTGCCAGCAGCGCCCAATCCTCTCGAGACACGGCCTTAGGTGCCTGTTTGTGGCAATGGCGGAGTTAGTGGTTCCGTACAATAACATGCGCACACAGCAAATGAAGAGGGCGGAAGGAAGAATGACCTGCTTCGCGATCTCGCGCACGAGGTCACGGGCCGTCTGGACTTTCCGTTGAGCGAAGCATGCGAGAAGTATCCTATCTGCCAGGTGACTGTCGACCAGGCCGTCGCCGAGCATGTCGCGTAGCTCCGTCCGCATCAGCTCCTCCCACTTGGCCATCGACCGCTTGCTTCGCATGTCGTCTTCGCACCGCTCGCTCGCATGTGCTACCTTGGCGTCGAAGAGCAGCGTGCGGCAGAACAGCTTGGTCTTGCGCGTGACACCCGAGGGCTTACCGCCAACAGCGGCGCTCCGCTTCTTCGCTCCCTCGCCGTGGGCCGCGGACGCTTCGCGAGTCTTCAGGTATTCCTCGTAGGCGTGCGCGAGACGCGTTGCTTTGGCCTTGGCCAGAAGTGGCGAATCCCTGATCTTCTTGAGCTGCCCGACGATCTGCTCGTCCACTCCCTCGCGACCGCCTCCCAAATCGACGGAGGGTCTCCTAGCGGCGGCGGCGGCGGCGGAAGCGAAGGGCGGCGGATTAGGGGCGGGATAGGTGGCACGCAGCAGTTCCGGTCCTGAGATCGTTCGAGTCGGCTTCTCCAGCGGTCCTTCCCACGAGAAGTGGCGGGTGGGCGGTCGGGACGCCACCGATGAAGGGCGGTACTGGTGGTGCGACGGTACGTAGACGCCCGAAGTCGAGAGGGAGAGCGGCTGGGCGAGAGGCTGATGCTGAGCATGATGCGGAGGGAGAAGGTGTTGCCCCGAGAGCGAGAGCATGCCGTCGGCTGAGTACGAATGTTGGTGGTGCGAGGCCGGTGCTGTCGGCGGAGGCTGGGCTGCCGAAGCCGATGCAGGATACGACCAGAGCGAATAGGGAAACGCGTGCGAGGAGAAGGCCGAAAACTCGTCAGAGGAGCGGGAGACGGGGATGCCACCGTTGCTGCTGCCGATCGCGGGCCTCTCCACCAGCCCACCGCCATCGAACCCGGGTGACTCGTGCTGTCCACCTCCCGACGTGAGCGGCGGCGAGTAGAAGTGCGGCGACGTGTACGGTGGAACGGCGCTGTCGGACTGTTGCAAGGCGTGAAACGATGATGACGCGGATGATGGCGCTCCAGGTCGTGTGGCGCTCGCTGGCGAGGAGACGAACATGGATCCCGAGAAGGAGTCTCTGGGCGAGTGCGGTAGCGATGAAGGCGGGGTGTTCGAAGGCGACGAGACTCTCGACGAGGAGCTTGACGATGGGCTCGATGATGACGGACTGCTGGGCAGCGACGAGTGCATGGCGATCGAGAAGGGCGGGGCCGTGGGCGAGAGCGTCGACGATGACAGGTAGGGGTGCTGAGGCTGTACGCTGTCGTCCATCGCCATGATCCCTGTCCTTCCTCCTCCGGCCGACATCCCCTGCGCAGCACGTCACACAAACCGAGAAAGCACAAGACAATGTTGGAAGAAGCCCTCAAAGTAGCGTCTTGTGGTATCTGGTGCCCTAAAATAGCGAGGTGGAAAGGATAGGTACCTTGAGCGAGAGGGGAGGCGCTGAAGCCCGCATGGGGTTTCTCTGAGGGGCGGGAGCGGTCGTAGCGGTGCGGGTGGGGACGTCGCCACAGGACACGTGGGCCGCTACGAGGTACGAGGCCGCAGCGGGCAGCATGTGTCGATCTTCACGTCTATACTGGTCGAAGACGACGGTCTCAGCGTTGGGCGACTTCTTCTGCTGCACGAGCACGACAGGTCCGCGCAGGGCCGGTCCACCGCGGATGAGCTTGGGCACCCAGGGATTGGTGCGCCCCTGGCTGCATCGATTCTGGTAGATGAGGCAGAGCCGCGGGAAGGTGAGATGATCCTCCTGGAAGTACCACTTGAGAAGTCGATCGCCTCCCGCAAAGATCTTCCTCGCGAAATCGTTCTGTCGCAGGAAGGCATTCGTGAACGCCTCGTGCTCCTTCGGGTAGGTCTTGCAGAAGAGATCGACCTCGATGGGCTTCACCTTTTCGTCATCGATTAGCAGCAGCACCGTATTTCTCTGACCTCCTTGCTGATCTCCACCTCCCCCCAGCACGCTGCCGCTCTTCTTCTGCTGTTGCTTGCCCTTCGTCTCTTTCTTCGGCGACGATTTCGTTCTTACTGGCACGTTGCCGCTCCCGCTCCTACTCGCCCAGCTGATGTCGCTCGTCTCCGAGGTGTTCGCGTCGTAGTGTTCGCCACCTTGGTTCTCCTTCTCGCCTTCGCGTTCCATCATCATCAGATGATGTTGATGTAGCTGCTGCTGATGTAGTGCTGTGTCCTCCATCTTCGTCCTTCACTCCGACGCGCGGTGGCCTCGTCGCGTAGTGGATGCCGAGCTCTCGCGTGCCACCTCCTCCTTCGTGCACCACTGAGTAGTGCTGTCGCGGCCTCTTCGTCTTGTTCCTTGCGCTACTCGGTGCCTAGTTGTGGAGCTGTTGCCGTGTTCGCGAAGGTGCAGTAAAAAGAAGATGTGAGCGTATTGGCAGGCGACCAGACAAGACAAGGAAGACATCCGCCACCTCCACAGCTTCTCGTGTTTGGTGGTGGAGGTGGTGCAGCAAGAACACAAGAGCACAACCTCGTACCTGCAGCAACTTCAGCAAGAATCGGTCAGCAGCTGTGCCTGCGACCTCCTCCCTCCTTGCTTTCTTTCTTCTCTTCTAGAGCTACGCGCGTAGCACGTCGCGAGCTGGCTTGACCCGACGTCTCGAAGGGCAACAGAGAAGAGAGCACAAAAGACAGAGCCAGGCCGGCTGGCCGTTGGGCAGAGCTTGGCTGGGCGGAGCGGCAGACGAAAGTGCCCAAACAATCAGCCCGCCTTTCTGCTTCTTTTCTCGCCCAATAATTTCATGGGATACCGGAATGCAGCGCCCAATTAGAGGGCCGGTGCGAAAGCGGAAGGTGGGGCGAAGAGGGTGATGGATGGCGACACTCTCGCGACGACAGGCCATCGACAGGTCACCGGATTGATAAGGACCGGGACAGAGAGTGTCGGCCAGGCGAGATGCAGACCAGTTTCCCACACCTGGCCTTGCTCTTGGGCTTGCTGGCCAGCAAAACCGGCGGTTCAAGTCTGGCACCAACCAGCTGCACCACTGCGGTAGTGGTCTGGCCAATCACAATACAGGGTGGCATGTGCCGATTTTACCCTGTGACACGCACGATGCGATCGTGTGTCTGGTGGGTATTGTATTTCAGCAACAAACAATAAATAAATAGATCACAAATAAATAACTGTTACTCCGTTGTGTTGAGTTGACTGCTATCTGTCGGGGGTGATGGAGCAGTGCCTTCTCTTCTTCTTCTTCATGGGGAAAAGGGTTCCGTCGAGGCGCTGGATGGTCGCCGTGAGTCCTCGGACGTGAGCGAGTCGAATTCGTCCTCGGACGTCAAGCCGACGTACTTGTCCACGAAGCACCGCTTGATGTGGTCCAACTGCGAGAGAACGAAGCTGTGCACCCTCTCCGCCAGCGTGTCCATCTTGCTCGTCCCTGTTTTGTATCGATGAGCCGACAACACGACACGAACTTTGCCCTTGAGTGGGCGACTTACCAACGGCGAGGAAGTGAGAGTAGACGAGCTCGATGGGCTTGGATTCCTCGTCGCAGTGGCTGAGCGACTGCACGTGAAGGATTGGCGCCTCGTCGGGGAAATAAGGGGTGAACGAAACTGCGCGCAAGCAACAGACGTGTGTGAGCACAACAACCTCATGGATTCTAGCCTCCAGCCAGCCGGCGCGCGTACTCGATAAGAGGAACAGGAAGGAGCTGTCAAAGTGGAACGTGATCTTGCGGTAGTCTTCATCGCATTCCAATGGACTGACACAACACACCGCGGTGAGTATAAAGAACAAAGAAAGTGACTGTGATGGCGGCGACGATGCGCAGTACCTGCCAAAGATCTTGGACGCGGATCGGCAGAACTCCTTGCGCGGGAGGAGCGACACGTAGTCGAGGAGGTTGTAGAACTCGCACTCGAGCATGAGCTCCTTGCGGTCGCCGGCCGATTCGGGCCACACCATGGCGCCCGTGCGGAGGAAGTTGAGAATGAGCCGGAAGTGCTTGGCGTCCCGGTCGATGAAGTAGCCCTTCTCCTGCTGCTCGGGCGGCAGCGAGCAGAAGTAATGCGACGTGAAGATGAGGCAGAGCGTGCAGTTGGGGTACTTGCGCAGGGTCTCGATCGACGTGAAGAAGACCTCGCCGCCGATGTTGAGCTTGATCTGCTTGTTGGGCGTGATGAGCTGCGTGGCCATCTTTTGCTGTGACTCCCACAGCAGCCGCTCGAGCTCGAGCTTCTGCTTCTCCTCCTGCATTTCGTAACGAATCGAAGTGTGAGAACTGGCCTCGCTGTGGCGGCCATCATTATGACTGCTTGTGTGGTGGCGTACATGTAGACGTGCGAGTTCGATCTTGAGGATCTCATTGACAGCCTCGGTCTTTGCCAATCGATCGATCTTGTCCGTCTCCAGGGCCTGTCGAGCCAGAACAACGCCGCCACGTCAACTAAACAAAATAAAATAAACACATCGCGAGGGGAAGAGCTGTACGTTGGACGAGTCGCTGAGGAGCTGGGCGAGCCGGCTGGAGCAGGAGCCCCCAGAAGACGACAGCTGGCTGCGGCACGACTTGGTCTACGTAAAAACCACATCACTCGTGTCAGTCCGCAGTCATGACCCACGGGAGAGAGGCATTCATTGCACACACATACCCTCGTGAGCGAGTAGTCCGTCTTCTCCTCCGGTGACTCGGAGTCCTCTGTGATGGGTCCGGCTGCCGTTAGTGGGACCCAATGGGCGAAATTGGGGTGGGGGGGGGGTGAAAGCCGGCGCCAAGTACCAGAGCCAGAGTATTGGATGCGGCGCGAGGCGCTGCCTCGACGCCGGCGCGAGGGCGACTTGGACGACAAGTCCTCCTTGGACTGACGTATCTGGTCTTTGTTCTCCCTCTTGCCCTTCTTGGTCTGCTTGCTCTCCTTGTTCTTCTTCTTGGCCGCTGTGGTTGTCGCCTTGCTGGGCGAGCCGTCCCGCGACCGACCGCGCTCGGCCGCCTTCTTCTCCGTCCGGCCTCGCCTTCGGAAGAAGCGGCTCGTCACCGTCTCCATGTCCTTCTCCACCTCCGTCTCGTGGTCCGACTCCGAGTCGCTCGTGAGGTTGTCGATGCTCGCGCTCACATTAATGTAATCTCCATTCCTAATCACGTTTGCGTGTGCGGGGGGGGGGAAGCAAAAGCGAAAGCGAATGACAAAGAACGAAAACGAGGCGTGAGTCACATCAGGCATGCTTAGGGGGTGGGGGGATGGTGAGCGTACTGAGCGGCGTCGCCGATGGAGGAACCGTTGGGCGAGGAGCCGTTGCTGCCGTAGGAGAAGATGAACGGGCGCCTGGTGCCGCTGTTGCCGCTCGACAGCGACGACTTCTTGCGTCCGGCGGACGAGGCCGCGGTGCTAGTGGTCGAGTAGGAGAGTGATGACGTCAGCGACGTCGTCGACGCGTTGGCCGCGGCCAAGAAGAACGAAGGCGGCGAGCCCAGGGACGACGAGGCGGAAGATGATGTTTCGCAGGTTGTCGCGGTCGTCGACGGCATGAGGGCCAGCGGCGACGACTTGGGGATGATGGTGGTCCCCTTGGCATTCTTCGCATTCTTCATCTTGGGCAGGGACGACGACGAGAGGCTCTTGTTGCGGAATGAAAAGCCGAGCGAGTACTTGGGCCGCTTCCGCTTCACCTCCGCCGTCTGCGGGTGGTCGCCGCTGTAGGCGCCGCCGTAGCCGTTGCTGTTGTCCCTCCGCCGCTCCTCCTTCTCACGCTCCCTTCGCGCCTTCTCTCTTTCCTTCTCTCTTTCTTTTTCCTCCTTCTTGCGCGCCTTGCGGTCGTCCTTGACCGCGGCCGTTCGCTGCTGCGACCGGGCGGTGGTGGTCAGCTGACGGCACTCGACGGCCGACGACGAGGAGGAGAGGAAGAAGCGCGACGCCGACGTGTTGTCCCTGTCCCTGTCCTTGTCCTCCGACTTGCGGCTCTTGCTGCTGTTGGCCCGCTTGCGGCCGGGCGGCGTGGTGCGGTCCCTGTCGCGCCGGTTCTCCCTGCCCTCGTTCTCGCTCTCGGCCTTCTTGCTGCTGCTGGCCTTCTTCTTGCCCTTGTTGCTCCGCTTGAGCTCCTTCTCCTTCTCCTTCTCGCGCCTCTTCTGCTCCTTCATCTCCTTCTCCTTTTCGCGCCGCTCGTTCTCCGGCGTGCGCGGGACTCCCTGGCTCGCCGCCGGCTGCTGCTGGAGCTGCTCGGCGCGGAGGAGGTGGACCCGCTTCCAGCTCTCGGCGTTGGCGCCGTGCCACTCCTCCTCGGAGAGCACCTCGGACAGCTCGAGCTCGCGCCGCTTGAGCTCCTCGAGCGTTAGAACCTCGCCCACGCTCCGCACGCCCTGCGAGGCCTCGCCCTTGTTGAGCAGGTTGGCGTTGCTGGTGCTCGGGCTGCTGGTCAGCTCGCTCAGGCACTGGTGCGAGCCGCTCGAGTGCTGCGACTGGTCCAGGCGCGCCGACGACAGCGGCGACGACGCACAGCCACCGCCGCCCAAGCCCGCGAACGACGACAGGTTGAACGAAGTGGTGGACGAGCACGACGACGTGGGCGAGATCGAGCCCGACGGCTCGAGGAAGAACGAGAGCAGGTGCGGCGGCGGCGACGAGGCCGTGGCCGACGACGAGGCGATGACAGGGTTGAAGCCGCGGCTGCTGCCGTAGAGCGAGGCCGACGGCGACGACGTCGTGGAAGACGACGAGCCGTTCTTGATGAGCGGCAGCGGCAGGTGGGGCAGGTGGTGGCTGTGGTGGTTGTTGAGGTACGACGTGTTGCTCACGTAGTGCTGCAGATGCTGCAGGTTGAGCACCGGCAGCGACGTGGTCGACGACTGCGACGTGTAGAGGCCGCCGCTGCCGCTGACGCCGTTGGTGCTGTTGGCGCAGCTGCTGCCGTTGGAGGAGGAGGCCAGCGACATGGCGGTGCCGTTGGCGACGAAGTAGCCACTGCCCCGGCCGCTGCTGTCGCTGTCGCCCATCTCGTAGGTGCTGCCACCCGTCAGCCCGCGCTCGCGCACCAGGTTGAGCAGCTCGTCCACGTCCAGGTGGTCGCCGCCCGACGTCACCGTCACCGCCACCGCCGTCGCCAGGTGAATGCCCTCCTCCTGCTCCTCCTGCTCCTCCTCCGCCCCCATCTTTCCGCTGTTCTCGACCTTGTTGCAGGCCTTCTTGTTCTTGCTCTTCGAGTTGCGCCGCGCGATGCTGGGGCTGCCGCCGTTGGTGCTGGTGGTGGCGGTGGTGGCCAGCGCCGCGGCAGGGTCGTTGGCCGCAGCGCGCTTGCTGTCCTTGCGGCGGTGGTCGGCGCCGCTGCCCAGCGAGTTGAGGCCGGACGAGGAGGAGAAGGAATTCGAAGAAGAAGAAGCCATGGTGGTGGCGGTGGTGGCAGAGGCGGGAATGGGGAGCGCCAGGGCCGTCATCGTAAGCCGTGCCTCGTCAGCTGCTCCTCCCTCGCCGCCTCCTCGTGCGTCTTCGCTTCGTTCGCCCCCCGTCCTGAAGAAGCTGCCCTGGTGCAGGCCACCAACGTCAAAGGTAAATAAATAGGAACAGAACAAATAAATAAATAAATAAATAAGAATAGAGGAAGTGGAATACAACACAACAAGGGGAGAGCAACACAAGAGGAAGAGATGGTGAAGGAAGTGGCAGAAGAAAGGGGTGAGGTGGTGAAACCAACCACCAGCACCACAGGTATGTCAAACACGCACGTGCGTTACTGCGGGCACCACGTGGAAGGCATATAAAATAATATTAAAATCCGATACCGCAAAAAATAAATGTTAATCTTGCCACAATCCCGCAGCGGATCGGTTCAGGGCGCAAGAATTATAACTTTGACGAGTTTGGTTGTTAATCGGAAAAACCTAACGGATGAAGCGGGGAAAATGTGTACCGATTGAACAGACTGTAGGGCGGCCCTTTTGCTTGCGGTTAGGTGATGATGGAGGACTTGTTTGCCGCCTTCGCGAACCGACTCTTCTTCCGCTGGTGGTGTGGCGTGTCTGGGCGGTGCTGAACCGCAGAGAGCCGTCGCTTTTCGCTCTTTTTGGTGTTCTTCAGCTCAGACCTTCTGTCCTCAACCTTCCTTCCTTTTGCTCCTTTGTCGGCCGAGTTAGTTCTGTTCGCTTTCTTCTCCTTGTCTGCAGTTGTGGGCTGTAACGCCCCAATTTGGTGGTGTTTGGTTGGGGCTGTATCTCGGTCGCGCGGAGTGGCTGATAAAATTACGGGCTGGTGGCTTGTGTGTTGGTGAGTCTTTGCCTTGGTGGTTCGATTTGTCTCGCTCTTCTTCTTCTTGCTACTTACTCCTTGTCTGATCTTGGGTTCCTTCGGCTTACGGGCACGCGTCTGCCGGCAACGGACGACCAAAGAAGTCGTGTCTGCCGGCAGGTGCCTCAGGTGTGGCGACGGTCAACTCCAAAACCAGCAAAATTCTCGATTTTATAAATAGAGTAAAGTTGGCCCGCACATTCCCCAAATTCCGTGTAGCACTGTTTTTGGCGCGGATCAGACATGCAGACCGCCAGAATGAGCAGAGCAGAGCAGATCGAACACGTTTGTTGCGTGACCGGTGGCAATACTTCATCACGAGGCATTCACACTGAGGGTGGAAAGGTTGCCCGTCGAGTAGCGCAGGGAGGGATCGTCTTCGTCTGCGGCGGGGAGCACGGCGTCGTCCTCCTCCCGGTTCACCGGCGGCGCCACTTCCTCGAGCGATTTGCCCTGCGCGGCACGACAGCAGACAAAATCAGAACCAGCGCAGCGATCGGTGCGGTCAACTTATGTTGCTCTTGCCGAGCTTTGGTCGCCGTTGGCCTGCACGCACATGCACAATTGCACACGCACACACGCCACATGTCGCCATGAATGCACACGAGGTACCTCTGCATTGACGCCCAGGAAGAGCACCACAATTGCGGCGATCATCATGAGCCCGGCGCCGAGGAGGTAGCCGTAGAACAGATGCCACCGGTCCTTGGAAGACACCAGCGAACCAAAGAGGGTTGGACCCACCAGACCTGCACGCAGCGCATGTCGTGTTAGGCCATGACCACGCGACGCAAGCAGAGTGGCATTGGGGCGACGTTGTACCTCCCACACCAGTGCCCAGGGAGTAGAAGATGGCGATCGACATGGCCCTGATCTCCAAGGGGAAGACCTGACCACGGCATGGTCAACCCGCGCTGCTCGAGGAGCGGAAGCAAGCAAAGCAAGCAAAGACGGCATGATATGGTACCTCGGCGATGGTGAGGTAGGCCGACGAAGAACCGGCGGAGGAGAAGAAGAAAATGATGGACCAGCAGACGGTCTGCGTGACGGACGTGAGCCAGTCTTGTGTGAAAGCCACTCCGGTGATGATCTGCACCAGCGATCGTGTGAGCTTTCACGCGCAGACCACTGACCGGAGCACCGGAGAGTGTACCAGCAGGATGGCGGACACCATGTAGGTGATGAAGATCATGGGCTTTCGACCAACCGTATCGAACAATCGACCTGTTGAATGTTGTTGGCGTTCAGGCACAGTTTTTGGAGGGAAGCAGTGTGCCGCAGAGGAGACACATGGGATGTTCGTACCGATGGTCACGGACCCCAAGAAGTTGCCGAGAGCGAAGGGGATCAGGAAGAAGCCGATGTCGGCCGAGTCGACACCATAGAAGTCCGTGAGGATCAGCGCGTAGGTGAAGAAAATCGCCTGCACGCGCCGCGAGTGACATGTGAAAGCTGCGTGAGCACGAGACAAATGGTTGGGTGACGAAGCAGAGAGGGAGGGCATCAACGCACGTTGTAGAAGAAGGCTTGCGAGATCATCTAAAAAAAGAGAGAAAGGGAGAGCCGCAGCGGTTAGTTACGCACATGCAGGGGAAACTCTTCGAAGATGTGACGACGAGGGGTGGTACCAGCGCGAGACTGAGGAATGCGCGTGAGAGATAGTTATTCAGGATTTCGCTTACGATTTGAGGGAAGCTGAGACCGCCGATCTTGAGGGTGAGCATCTGCAGGGGCATCTCCAGGGTGATGTTCTTCTGCCGCTCGATATTGGCCTCGATCCTCCTGACGATCTCTTCGGCCTCGTGCAGTCGATTATGAGTCATCAGCCACCTGTGTCGTGAGGAATTACACACGTTTGTCAGCGGCCAACGACTGGGGTAAGGAGCTGAGCTGAGCTGAGCTGAGATGTTCGGACCTGGGGCTCTCGGGAAGGAAGAGGCGGGTGATGATGATGAACAGGCAGATCACAGCGCCGATGCCAAAGGGCAAACGCCATCCCAGGTTGGTTGGGACGATCTCCTCGTCCAAGAAGAGGAGCGACGCCGTGGCACCGATAGCAGCACCTACGCACCAGCAATAAAAAAACAACCGCGGTAAATATAAAAGGTGTTGACAGGAGACGGAGATAGGCGTGGTGCGGCCACGTACCCATCCAGTAGGACCCATTGATGGCGAGATCGACGATGCCACGCACGCGTGCGGGGATGAATTCGTTGATGGCGCTGTTCATCGCGCTGTATTCGCCGCCTGCATGTCGCCCGCAACGTGAAAAGAAAAAGGTGAGATCGCTGCTACTCTTGGCTGCCAGGGAGCGGAGTGACCGCACCGATGCCAAGGCCGGTAAAGAAATTGCAAACGAGGAAGCTGTAGTAGTCCCACGAAAAGGCGGTGGCGAAGCTGGAGCACAGGATGATGGCCGGCGTCACCACGAAGAACTTCTTTCGTCCGTACTTGTCTGTGCACAGCGCAACAGAAACAAGCTCTTGAGCCGCGCATCCGCCGAAGCTTTTGGGAGTGGGAAGGAATGAAGGAGCCCACGTACCGGCCAACCAACCGAACACAAGGGATCCGAAGACGGCTCCCGCTATGTACACTGTCCCGATGATGCCCACCTGCTGTGAAGAGATGCCCAAGGCCGCTGCGTTCGTCACAAATCAGACACAGCCAGTCATGTCAGCCATTACAAACGCCGCAGGTGATAAGAGTCGCAGGTGTGTCGAGGCACTCCTCCACTCTGGTGCGTACATTGCTTCTTCAGAGTATCGCCGATAATGCCCACGGTTGTGACCTCGAGCCCGTCCAGCACCCACGAAATGCCCAGGGCCAAACACACCAGCCAGTGCCATCGACCCCACGGCAACCTGATCCCTCCCACCCACCACCACGACCCCCGAGCACAGGTAGTCAGTACTCAGCGCCGCTCCTCCTCTCAGCTATGCGCGCGGCGGGCAGCTGCCGCAATGCTGCTGCCGTACCGATCCATGCGCGCAGGGATGTTTGTGCGTATGTGGAAGCCGGCTCGGGGTACAAGCCCTGGCAAGGCCTCGGCGTCCTGAAGTGTCCAAAAACGCGGCTGTCAGCACGAACGAGCTAGCGAGTACCAAAGAGGCAACGTTGACGTGAAGGAGGGAACAGCAGAGCAACGCCACGCGAACCTCGACTGCGCCGTGGTGGTGATGGGCCTCGCTGCCCAGCAGTAGGTCTTCGGAGGGTTCGACGTCGGACGTGCCGGCGTGCAGCTTCTGCCGCGCCCTGGCCTCGTCAGCTTCGGCGCGGTGGATGAAATCATCGCGCTTTAGGGTGTCGTCGTCTTCGTCCTCATTGTTTACGCTCAGGGCGGCCCACTTGTGGTGTTCGTCCCAGTTTCGATCAGACATGGTCTCCCTGTCGCAGCAAAAGTGAGCAAACCACAGACGAGGGGCATGACGCGTAAGGCTTGGGCAGTTACCTTTGGTAGCCTCCACAGAACGTGCGCAGTCAGTCTTGATGATTGCAATCCAACGTGAGGAGAAGATGGATTGAAGGTTGGTTGATTTATGCCGTGTATGCGTTGTGAGATTCTTGGGCAAGCGTGAAAGGCACGAGCCTTTGGTGGAACGTGCCGTGATGGGTCGTCGCGCCATCGCCTCTTCGTCGAGCCGCCTCGCCGTGCCTTCCCTCTTCGTTCCTGCTGAAATTTCTGACTTTTTATTTATCTTTTTTCTATTTTTCCTTTTTGGAATTTTCATATTAGAAAATTATTAATTTTATTTCTCGCAGCCGAGCGGCCAAGTGGTGGCGTTCAGGCTAGGTAGCTCTTGATGATGGGCATGACCTCGCTGCCGGGGAATCGACCGAGCGAACCACGGGCGGCATCGACCTCGGAGAAGTGGGGAATGCCATCGCTTTCGTCGTTTCCGCTGACCCGCGCGAGCGCCTCCTGCTCGGCCTGGGTCTCGCCGCCGGGGCTGGCGGCGAGCTTGGCCTGAAGAACGCGCCACACGTCCCGGACCCTGGCGATGACGAACGGCACGGGCTCGCAGGAGTGGTCGCCGTAGAGGACTGGGGTGGAGTGGTCGCCAGTGAGGCACACGCTGAACTCGGTCTCGCCCTTGGCCTCCTCCTCGACGAGCTTGCCCACAATCAGGCTCAGCATCTCGTCGGTCTTACCAAGGAACTCCAGCTTGCGACTAATGCTCCTGTGTGTCGTGTAGAAGTTGTTTGAAGGGTTCAGCGACTGAATTGTGCGGTCGAACTGAGAGAGACCGTGGTGGTAGAACCGCCCATACCTGTCGTGACCGGCATCATCGACGGCCTTGACGTGGACGAAACCAAAGTCGTAGTCCTGAGTGACGAGGGTGTGTACGCCGGTCCGGCCCTTGCTCAGTAGGTCCGTGTGGTAGTCACCCGTTGCTCCTGGGGCATCAACAATATCTAAAGAAGAGAGAGAGAGAGAGAGAGAAGAGGTAAGGAGCCAGCACTGAAGAAATAAAAGAACAACGGGGCCGATACCGATGCTCAGCGACATGCCGAGGCCCTTGATGATGCACGTAGGGGCTACCATGAAGGCCTTGAGGCCGTGCCTCTTTTCAAAAGCCTCCACCTAGGATGGAATGAATCACTTTAGCAACATTGCTCTCGCGCTTATAAAAGGGATCAGAGAAGTATATACATCGTAAAGACCACCACAGCCTCGAAGAAGAATCAGGTTGGCCAAATCCTTGCCCTCCTTCGCTCTAGTTTCGTTGATGGGGTGCTGGGTCAGCTTGTTGTGGATGGCAACCGAGAGAGCGTTCACAATCTGTGTTTCGAAAAAAAGAAACACGTGAAGGAGTGAGTGAGTGAACACAGCTGTAGCGTTCAGCAGGGCCAGCAACACTTACGTCACTTGTCCTCCTGGCCTCCTCCGAGTCCTCCAACGGCGTGCACTTGACCAACGGAAGGCTAGCGCACAAGGAGCGAAGCAGAGGTCAACAAGAGGCAATGGTCACCAAGAGTTCTCTTTCGAACTGCAAACCGTACTTGTCCTTCAGGGGATCGGTGCCCGAGATCTGGTCGCTGAGGCCAGGACCACGGACACGTACGCCGCACCTGGTGGCCATACGTAGTGTAAGCGAATCAAGGCAAGGCTTCACAGGATGCGCTACACTTGGTCGACAGGGATCAGTACCGGTGCTCTGTGGCATACTTGAAGTCCACCTGGTACTCGGGAAAGCCAGGAATCTCCCTGTGCCGTGTGTAAGTTGATCCTTTTTCCATCAAGCGCTCAGACTGGAGAAGCACGCGTACAGGTGGTTGAGATAGCTGCACAGGGGAGGACCCAGGTCTTCGAAGTTGCGGTCGGCCCTCCGTGAGACGACGATGTTGGTCTTCGGGTCCAGCGTCGCGAAGTTGGACTGCAAATAAAGGTGAGGGTCGGGTCAGCACTACTATAGCAGTGCCGCTCCGCGATGCTGTGGTCAGGCTGAGTCGGTGTATGGCACAAGAAGGGAAGAAGTCACCTTGAAGGCGATATCGCCAGGCTTCATGAGCAGGCCTGCACCCATGGTCTCGAATGCACCACGCCCTCGATAGTACCTGCCGAGAGTGATCCGATTAACACCCGAAAAGCAGCGAGGGTATCGATAATATAAAAAAAATCAAACTACGTACGTGCGTGGCGGGTAGCCAAGGATCGACAGATGAGCAGTGTCGCTGCCGCATGCAAGGCCCACCTCCACGGGGTCCATCAAGCCATTGCGACCCGCTGTGGCGAGGGCGTCCATGGCAGGAGTCACAGCGTGCTGCAGTGGGGTGCGATTGTTCAGTGCTGGGATCCCCACATCTCCCAATCCGTCCACCATAACAAAGAGAAATCTCTTCCTCTTGCCCTGCTGCATCCTCTCTGCCATGATCCTTGGTAGTTTTGCTGTCTCTGGAGAAACAGCACGGGCACCAGCGTCCTCATGTTTCAAATTCTTTATCAGCGCCGTTGTTTTCGATGCATAATTTAAAGAATTTATGATATTTTGCTGCATGTCTGTGGCGAAAAAAGAGGTCGCCAAAGATAGAAGGTGACCTACGTCATGTGGCCTTGCCCTGCGGTGGTGCCTTCGAACCTTCCCCGCCAAGCTGCACCAACCGCATCTAATCTCTCACGCTCGCCGGCCTCGCGCGCCCTCAATTGCATCGTTGCTCTCTGACTTCGCCCTTGTCTTTCAATTTCGGCACGTGAGCGAAGTAACCGACCCACGGTGATTTTCAAGATTTTCAAGTCTTGCGAACGATCCCTAAAGCTGCAGAGCAAAGGACCAAGATGCAAGAGCACAAGGTGCGGCTGCCTTTTGATCTATTCGGCCCTCATAAACACTGGCTCAATCGGCATCGCAGGAGGTGGCGGCAATTCAAGCAGAACCGGTAGCCGGCGATGTGGTACTTCCCCCCTTCCACTATCCTCAGCTCTGTTGCGAGGCGCACCTTCACCTTTTCACCTTCAGCTCCTCACCACTACGTTGCACCTTAACCACCACCCACAGGCGAGCCTCACGTCAAAGAAGAGCAAGAAGAAGGACAGGGAAGAGAGCACTACCGGCGACAGTGGGGTTGCCGGGAGCGAGAAAAAGAGCAAGGCCAAGAGCAAGAGCAAGAGCACCGACGGCAAGCCCCACAAAAGAGAGAAGGAAAAGAAGAAGGACAAAAGAGAGAAGACGACGACGGCGACGACGGAGGACAAGGTGAAGAGCCCGCGTGGCGAGAAAGCGAAGCACAAGAAAAAGAAGAAGAAAGAAAAGGAGGAGAAGGGCACCGTCGAAGAGGAGAAGGATAAGGCGGCGAGGAAGAAGAAGCGGAAGGAGGCCAAGGAGCGACGGAAGAGGGGACACGCATTCCTCCTTACCGATCTGCCCGTCGAAATCCAGCTGCTCGTCATGACCTTCCTCACCGCGCCTGGCCTCTGCGCCGCATCTCTCGTTTGCAAAGAGGTGCGCCGTGTGTGCCATAGTGTTGCGTGCGTGTCGTGCGTGCGTTGTGTGCGTGTCGTGCGTCAGGTTATGTACGCTGACACTATTTCCTTTCTGCCTTCTCGGGATCAATACAAACCAGTGGTACCGCTTGACGATAGACGATCACATCTGGGGCCGCTTGTTCGCTTCCAAGTACCACAAAGCGTACCGGGAGAAGCTCGAAGCCCGAGCACACGCCGACGCTGAAGCCGGCGCGCCGCTCGCGCAGCCTAAGTGGAAAGAATGCTACGCACAACGTGAGGTACTACTCGCCGTCTCTTCTAGAAGAGGCTCCCCATCTGCGCTTGATCATCGTGCCTTCCACTCACCTCCCCCGAACAGGCCAAAGATGAGAACTGGAGGAAGGGAAATTGCAAGGTGTCTGCGATTCAACTCACAGACATCGTCTATTGCCTCAATTTCAACGAAGACATAATCGGTACGGGCTCTAGGGAGATGCTCTTCCTTATAAGCGATGCTGTACTCACCTTCCGGGTTGCGGTTCCCCCTCTACAGTGGCTGCGCTGCGTGATGATATTGTCCGTGTGATCGACATCAACACCGGAAAGACAACCAAGCTGCTTCGCGGCCACAGGGGCTTTGTCGGTACGCAGTCGCCCTTCCCCCCGTCACAGAACCAATAATGCCCAGCTCGCACTGACTCCACGCGACTCTCCCCTAAATTTAGGAACGTGTGATTTCGATGACCGAATAATCGTAAGTGGTGCCCCAGCACCCCCTCGGACGTACTGGCGTGGTTGGTTGACCACGCTGGTGTCGATGTGCAGTTGTTGTTGTTGTTTCACTCATCACCGTTTTTCTTCTCTTTGCCAGTGCTCCGGCTCCTGGGACAAAACGATCAAAGGTGCGGACACGCATCCATCCCATTTCTCCGTCTCCTTTCACCTCTCTTGACCTTCCTAACCTGGGCTTTTCCATAGTGTGGGATCTGGAAACGGCTCGACTCCTCAAGAATATCGACGCGCACCAATCTGAGGTGGTGGTGATCAAGTTTAAGGACAACACTCTCGTATCAGGCTCCGCGGACATCTCCATGAAGGTACTCGCCACACAGGGCGTCCACGTGCTGCTCGCTTGTGTCGTGGTGCTGACCTAATGTTTGCTTTTTCCTACAGATATGGGATTTGGAGACGGGCATCAGCACCGCCACTTTGCGAGGCCACACCAAAGACGTCTGCACGCTCCAGTTCGACGAGACCAAGATCGTCTCGGGCTCCAAGGATGGCGCTATCAAGGTGGTGCATCGCTCCAGCTCATCTCAGCCATCTCTATTTTGATGGCACGCCACGAACTCACAATGGTTGCACGTGGTGGTCGTGGTGGGTGGTGGTGCAGTTGTGGGACATGCGATCGCAACAATGCGAGAACACCTTCATCGAGCACACCGACGGCGTATGGTCCATACAGTACGAAGACAACGAACTCGTCTCCGCGTCGAGAGGTGCCTTACACTTCCTTATGGGCTTCCTCCTCTCCATTCCGACCAAGCTGACTCCTCTCGTGTGTTGCGGCACATGGCGTATGCAGACACCACGGTGAAGGTGTGGGACATGAGGGCAGGTAGGAGTAGGATGACACTACGAGGTGCGCACTTTACGACTGTGGTTTGCGCAGTGGTGCCCTCTTCTCCAAATTGGTGACTAATCGGTGAGTTCTCCTCGGCCGAGCAGGGCATACGGACAAAGTGCTTTCGATGATGTTCGACGAGTCCAAGATCGTGACGGGCGCAGAGGACTTCACAATCAGAGTACCTCCCCCGCCCCGACTCACCTTGTGCCGACCCTGTGAGCCAGCAAGCGCTGATCGGCGTGTGTTCTTCCCCGCAGGTATGGGACAGGCACACTGGTGATGCCTACGGCGTGCTGCCGATTGGTCACAAGGGTGCGCACCTCGGTCCTCGTTCCATGTTCCATTGCGCCACTGAAAAGTGCTGGCCAGTCGCTGACCATGAACTGGCGGGGAGCGCAGGCAAGGTGTGGACGCTCAAGTTCCACGATGCGGTGATGGTCTCGGGCTCACACGACATGACGATCCGCATCACCCGCTTCGACAGGAAGCCCACGCCACTAGCTGCCTACGCCATCAAGAAGTAGCGGGCAGCAGTTACAAAAGAACGACAGATAATAAATAATAAATAAACACACCACTAATGAAAATATTTATAAATAACAAAATGATATTATTGTTGTTGGCGGAGAAAAGTGTCCCACAATGAAGAGAGACGAACCGGAGTACAAAGCGAGGAGGGGAGCAACGTGCACACTCGATAGTACGGAGGTTATCGAAGCCATTGCGGATGGACACGTCTGCAGGACGACAGTGGTCAAAAGTTCTCCAATACTAAGCAAAGCGCGGTGTGCCTGCACTTGTTACCTTCTCCATGCTGCCACTGGTATCACTGGCAGCGGGGCCGTAACGAGGCCAAACAGCTTCTTCCTACCCAAACCTAAAACATAAAAAAAAACACTCCCTGGTCTCACACTTAAGAATTTCAACTTTTGATTTTATGCATGTCTGAGGACTATTGGACCATGATGACTTCTTGGAGGAGAAGGCCCTGGTCACCTTGCCCTTCTTGTTGATCCATTGCCTTTTCACCAAGGTTTGGCACACTGTCCACCTCCCACTAATACAACCACATGCCCTTGCTGAGAGGGACTTGCACAATAAATCTCCACCCATTCTCCCCATCTGTGTGTTTGGAGATGATCACATGAAGATCTGGGGCCTGCACCATCAAAGTTGTGAGCCCATGTAAAGGCCTATTCCTGCTTTTTCCAGCCAAAAGTAGAGCAGAAAACTCCTTGGCCTAGGAGATTTCTACTCTCTGCAGGAGGTTTCCTCTTTTGGGCCTTAGAGTTTTGTGTTCACCAACATGTGTTTCTTATTGCTTGGTCAGAGTAATTCACATTTTGGCCTGCCCACAACTTGGCCTCCCTGGGACCAGTTTTAGAAATGGGGACAATGGTGGAACTGGCCAAAAACTGGCAGTGCAAGTCGTGGTGGCGCCACAAAAGAAGACTGGGTCCCAGGGACAGTTTGGATCGCCAACAAAATGCAGTTGACCTATGGTGGAGATGGAGCAACAGCAATTTAAATTAGGGCAGGAGTGGCGTTGGGCTGGTTTACAACCATCAAACAACTTGCCCCATCCGCCATGTGTAAAGTTGTATCGCTTTTGCTGCTGGGGTTGATGGTCGTGGCTTGCCTGTGGTCCACCAGTGATGCTGTGGTACAGGTCGCTCGGCGGAGCGACGACTTTGTGGGCACCATTGGGTTCAACACGCACTTTCACTACTCGAACATATGCTACAACGAGGGCTATGAAAGGTTCAAGGCGCTCTTCCTCGCCCTCGGTGCTCGCCACATCCGTGACAGCCTCCTCAACACAAGTACCCACCAACCTCTTCACTCCCTATCTTGTTGTGGTTGTGGCTTGTTTGGGTGTTGCCTTACTGGCTGAGTCGACAGCTTGGAAAACGTACTACGATCGCCTGAACGAGATGGGGAGAGCCGGAGTGAAGAGCCAGCTGCTCGTAGACTACGATGTCCCTGCAGAACAGATCACCTCCCTGCCCTTGCGCGTGCTCGACTCGATGGAGCTCTACGAGGGACCCAACGAACTTGACATTCGTCGCAATTTTGAGGGAGACTGGGCCACCACCCTGCAAAACTTCACCAAAGTCCTTTGGAACGTACCTACCCCTCGCCTTCGTTCTGTAAGTAGTCGCTTTCGCTCTTTCGCTATGGGAGCTAAAACCGGTGGGTGACCGGGGCAGGCGCACAACAACTCCTACCCGGTGGTCGGGCCCTCGCTGACCAGCGAGGCGGCCTACACGAAGCTGGGCGACGTGAGCCAGTACGTCGACTTCGGAAACATGCACAATTACTTCAGCGGACGTCACCCGGGCACCAAGGGCTGGGGAGGTCCGAGCGCCGCAGGCTATTGCTGCTACGGCAGCATCGGCTTCAACATGAACGTCACGGCCCTCTCGAGCGGCGACAAGCCCATCGTGTCGTCGGAGACAGGTTACACCACCGGCTCCCCGCGGCCGTCGAAGAGCGGCCAGATCCCGTTCGACGTGCAGACCAAGTATGAGCTGCGCATGTTCGCCATGCAGTTCATCCGGGGCGTCGAGCGCACGCTTCACTACGAGTTCTGCGACTTCGCCGACGACCCGGGCATGTACGGCATCGTTGCGGTCGACCCCGAGGATCCCTCCAAGCTCACGCCCAAGCCGGCCTACCACGCTCTCTACAACCTCATCCGCCTTCTGGCCGACCCCGGCCCCGCCTTCACTCCCACTTCCCTGTCATACGGTCAGCCCAGACCTCCTCCCCCCCATAATCTCCCCGCGATCTCATCATCACTCGTGTATGTGTGTGTGCGTGTGGTGACACAGAGGTGGCAGGAGCTCCTTCGTCGTTCCAGAGTTTGATTCTCCAGCGACGCGAGGGCACGTTCATGGTGCTGCTGTGGCTCGAGGAGGCCACTTGGCTGCTCCCGGCCAACAGCTCGGGCGTGTACGCCAACGTCACGTCAGCCGACGTCGCTGTCCGTCTGCCGGGCGGGCGCAACGCGTTCAGCGCCTCGGCCACGGTCTACAGGTTCAACCCGTCGTCGGGCTGCATGACCGCCACGGCCACCCGCCTGACCGCCGCCAACTCGAGCGCCAACGACCTCGTCACCCCGTCGCTCCAAGTCGACGACTCGATCCTCGTCCTCCAGCTGAACCCGACAACCAGCTCCGCCGGCGCCGTCTACAAACCGGCCGCCGACGCCAAACTCTGTCCGTCCGACGAACTCCCCTCCAGCGCGTCACGGCTCGCCTCGCCTTACGTGAAGTCGCTCATCTTTAACTGGTGAACGGAGAGCTAATGAACTGAGTTTGTTTGTTTGTTTTTTGTTGTTTTTTTGTTTTTCAAACCTGGGAGGAGAGGCCACCGTCGAGCACGATGACCTGGCCTGTGAGGTAGTCGCTGCCTACCAGAGAGCTCACCACGTCCGCCACTTCCTGCACACCACCACCATCCAATTACGTCGTGTGCGTGTGCATGTGCGGGTGTTGCGTGCCTCGGCACGACCAAGTCGAAGCGGGATGACGTTGAGGTCGATCTTGTACCGAATGTCGCGCAGCATTTCCGGGTCGATGTAGCCCAGCGCCACAGCGTTTACAATGATGCCCCGCGGTCCGTACTCCACCGCCAGCGACTTTGTAAGTCCTGTGTGTTGTCGCATGCTGCTTGAGAACGACACAACACGCACGCACAAACTCACGCACATGCACACGCACGATACCACAGTGGAGCATTTCTAGGGAGGAACGGACCTATGATGCCAGCTTTCAAGGAAGAATAGGCCGCTTGGCCCGTGTTGCCCATCAGTGCGATTACACTGCCCACGTTCCCGATTCGTCCTGTCATGATGGTGATGGTGATGGTGATGGTGATGGTGATGGTGATGGTGATGGTGATGGTGATGGTGATGGTGATGGTGATGGTGATGGTGATGGTGATGGTGATGGTGATGGTGATGGTGATGGTGATGGTGATGGTGATGCGCGTCACGAATACGAGCGTCCACTTCGTTAGCGTGGCGATCACGCATGGTCGCACAAACACCATCATCAAAGGAGACGCCCATAGCGCTGTTTCATCATGGGTCGTAGCACGGTCTTCTCAGGTACATCGCACCAGCAGGTTGGTCGATACAACGCTCTTAAACCACTCACACACAGAGAGAGAGAGAGAGTGACCCCACACACTCGGGCCTGTTGTGTCTACAAAATAGTTCCACGCCCAGCATTTTTGGAGAATGTTTCAGCCACAACTCGTCCAGATTTTATCCAAATTTCTGATTCTCGCAGTATTTATTGGCGCCTCTCAGAAGAGGCACCCATTGAACATAACCCACCAAAACATGTCGAACCCCAAGGAGACCACCCAGCAGAGAGCCCACGTCGTAGCCCTTGATGGAAGCGAAGACGCTGATAAGGCCTTCGTGTGGGCGTTGAGGAACCTGGTAAATGCCCCCTCCACCTACGCACCACGCTGTCTTTGTTCTCACCCCCTCCCGGTTTCGTCGCGCAGCCCAAGAACGATAAGCTCGTCCTCGTGCATGGCATCCACACGCAGCCGCTCGAGAACCCGCACATGGACTGGATGGACCAGGCCACCACCCTTTCTCGCGAGGAGCGCGCCCGGCTGGCAAAGGAGCGACACAAGGCACTCTTCAGCCACTACGAAAAACGCTGTAAGGAAGCCGACGTACGTAGTCCACCTCAGTGCCACATTATGCCGTCAATAGGACACTGCTCACAGATGCCCCTTTGTGTGTGCAGCGCGTGTGCACGTTTGAGACGATCAAGTTCCGAAGCAATGGCGAGCTGGCCAACAACATCTGCCAGGTGGCTGAGGAGGATCGTGCCTCCACTGTCATCGCCGGCTCGCGAGGCCTGGGCCTGTACGACCGCGTCATGCTGGGTACGACCAACCATCAGCTTCGTTTGTTTGGCCTTAAAAGTGTAAGTTCCGCTCACCCAACTTCCCACTCTGCAGGTTCCGTTAGTACCGCCCTGCTCAACCGGTGCCGCTGTTCCGTTCTCATCGCGCGCGACTCTTCGTAGCCATCTCCAAGGCTCTTGCTCCTCCCGTCGCAGCCAACGCAGTTCCAAAAAAGTGTAAAGACCCTTCAATAAAGACAACTACAACAACTATCGGTTCATTACTACATCGGTGGGTCGTGCTGTTTCTCTTGGTGGTCTACACTCCACAGCTACAGGTGCCTTTCTCTCACCTCATCTGCTGAGGCCTTGCTTGAGTGGCGCTGGCCTTTAGGTCAGATTTCCATCGAATTGCCGTGTTAAAGGCCAAATCAGGATAAAACAGGGCAGCAAAAAGTGCCCCAAAATCAATTCAAAAAAACCCACAGCACGAAGCAAGCAGCGGCTCCTCTACGCGTCTTCTTGAGCTCTAGTAGAAGGCTCCGCAACAAACAACAACAAAAGGTAGGATGACCTCGTTTTCACGTTGCGCAAAAGAACCATTTCGCAACGGCAGCTTCGCCATTGCTCGATCCGCGGTTTTGTGCTTCCAGGGGTTGGACATCTTACCTGCTCCTTCCTCAGGTAGCGACAAATACAGAGGCGAGCTGACTGCTTTCACATGCCGAAAAGACAACGCCTTTGTTATGTGGAGGACGACGTGGTGTCCTCTCTCCCTATCGAGCTGTGGCACGAGGTCTTCCTACGTGTTGGTTTCTTCGACTTGATGGTACGAAAGCGCAACCACCAGTCTTTGTTGATGTACACTTAGCATCCGGCTGTCGCTAGGTCTCGCTGCCTGGTGTGAGTAAGACCTTCAAGCACATGGTAGGGGAGGACAACGACTATCTCTGGTAATCTCTCAATTCTTCTTTCATTGCTTTTACCGTGAGGTGTTGACCTTCGCTGCTCTACACAGGTACAACCTGTGCAAGCGCGTTTTTGGTGTAGAGCATATCCGTCTCCATTCCTCCCTTGTCGCCTTCTTCTCGCACGGCTGGAAGGAGGTTTTCGAGGCCAGAGGTGCGCGGCATGCCAACATGTTTTTCCTCAACCCACCAACCCGACTCTTACCCTTCCGTAACGCAATAGTAAAGCTTCTGCTGCGACTGAGTGGTGCCGACTTGGCCGCTATTGCCAACTTCCCTCGTGCGCTCATCAGCGAAGAAAGGATCTGGGAGCCACAGAGCTATCACCTCCGGTACGTCGCGCAGTGCAAGTGGGACGTTAGCGGACATGGCGAGTTCTGAAACGTTTCTCTTAGGCTCGCAGTCGGCCTCAACGACCTGCCGGAGATGAAGGAGATCTTGAACATCCTTAAACATCGTGGCCAGTACGACGCCTCACGCCATCGCTTCCTCGAGCTACTGCACACTCAGAAGGAGTACGACATCCTCAGTCAGTACGCGTTCTTCTCTCGGCCAGGCGATGACGCGGTGGGGAGGAAGCGACGCTGCTTTGAGGTTCTGTCAGAGATTGCCAACTGTGTCGAGTTCCTACGACGAGGGGCCGGTATGCCCAAGTCTGGCAGGCGAATGTCGCGCGAAGGTCTGATGCCTATGACACTGGAAGAAGAGGAGCACTCGGAACCAAGGGGCACCAGACGAGCCATCGTCGCCGCGAAGGACCTTCGGGCCGTGCAAGCCTGTGTGTTCGCGATGAAGACACTCGGGGCTGAGAAGGACACGCTTGTGGTAGAGAGCAGCTTGGCGCAGGGCCGAATCCACCTCGCCTTCCTCGATCTCAAGAATGCGCGGAAGGAACTGGTAGTCAATGGCGAGACGCTCAACTCCATGCACCTGAGGAACTTCATCTCTGCAGGTACCTTCAATCATCCCTTTGCATCGAACTCTTTTTCTCATTCATCTTCTCATGTCCAGATCACCCGAGCCTCACCGATGCTCTGCTCGAGCGAATGGGTGTGCCGGTGGACGTCGTTCCCGCATGGCTGTTCTACTTCTTCCTTGTCTACGTGTGCTGCCTGGGATTTAGCGAATCGAGCACCACCAACTACCACCTCGACTCCCTCGTCGCCGGTACGCCCCGCCGTAACCAGCGTGCTTCGATGCAGTCCGTCCTCAACTTCTTGAGCACGCGAGCCTCCGCCTAGTAGAAGAAGCCTTCAATCGCTGTAACCTTTTCTGCAGCGGCAAGAACACGAATGTACATGTTGTAAAGCTCTCTCAGCTGTCTTCATGCTTGAAGCGACGCAGAGACGCGCCCAGAGATTTGGAGAATCGGGCGAGCCCGCCTGCCTTCTCTGTCTTCCCCTCTCTCTTGCGTTCTCCTTCCTCCTTCTCTCGTTCTTCATCCTCGTCGCTCTCATCTCGTTCCTCTCTGACCTCGCCTTGGTCATGATGCCGGCCGTGATGGTGGCGATGGTGATCGTGATGCGGCTTATCCCTGCCACTGCTACGACTGCCGCCGAGCTTGGGCGGAAGCGGAGGCGGGTTCAAGCGCAGCGGCCCGGGCGAGTGGCGCTGGTGCCACGTCTGCGCGAACAGCTTCACGTAGAAGACCTGCGCCGGGTTGCGGATAGTCCCCGGGCGCGCGGCCCGGACCAGGTCGATGGCATCACCGGGCTTCATGCCCAGCGCCACCAGTACGCTCACCACCACCATCCCCGATCGGCCTTTCCCGCCGTTGCAGTGCTGACACATTGAAGTGTTCGGCGTGAGCAACCAGAACGAAGAACGAAGAATGAAGAGGCTTACCACGACGATGACCTTGTCCTCGCGCAGGCGTGTGAGGAGGAGCTCGACGAGGTCGACGAGGATGCGCATCGATTCGGGGATCCACTTGTCAGTGATGGGCGCCCACACGCTCTCGATCCCCACGTCCTTCGAGCGGGTGAAGAGCTGGGTGGCGCCCATCCGCTGCAGCTCCACCTCGCGCACCAGCGTCACCAACACGTTCGTTTCCACCGCAGTCTACTCGACGCCGTGGCGTTGAGGTGTCGTGTCGTGTCGCGCGTGTCGTGTGCGTGTTAGAGAAGAGACACAGACAAGGAGTAGCGCAGAAGAAACGTACGAGCACGCTGATGTCCTTGAAAATGTCGCGTCGATGTCGCTTCTTGTTGCGGCCCGGGCAACAGCATATGCCCAACCGCGCTCTCTTAGCGTCCCCCTGTACCCACACGACACGCAACACGCAACAAGACACGCTCAGACTAAGCATTGTCTTGTTATGTGCAGGCCTCGAGCAAGAAGACTGTGGAAGAACGCACGATTAGGGTGGACGGCTCGAGGGGCAGGAAGTCGACGCACAGGGGCTCGCTGTCGGAGGTGGCGAGGACCACGCTCTTCCGAGCGAACGACACCAGCTGCTTGCTCCGCTCGTAGTCCAGGCACTCCCGTAGAAGCTCCCGCACCTCCGCCGAGACGCTCAGCTCCAGCGGCGTTCGACCGAACTGATCTGTACGAAGGCACCCACGCCGTGTCACACTTGTGTGTGCGTGTGCGTGTGCGTGTGCGTGTGCGTGTGCGTGTGCGTGTGTGGTGGCGACTGACCTAGCAGGGTCATGCTCGCGCCGGAGCGGACCAAGAGAGCCACCATCTCCAGGTTGTCAGCCTGCACTGCGAGCGCCAGCGGGGTGAATCTAGTATTGTGTGGCCACCACGCCGCCGCGGTACGCGAAAGAGAAGGAACCATCAGCGACATTGCTGCCAATGCGGGCTCGTCAAACGACATCAGCGAATGAATGGAATGAGACGGAGGTGCCAACCCGGCTGAGTCCTGGCGGTTGACCTCGGCGTCCTTCTCAAGGAGCAGCGCCACAATCCCGACGTGTCCCTGGCACGCGCACAGTCTTAAACCAACTCCGTCGATGTCACTGCCACACGCACCACCGCACACGCACACACGCGCCGCACACGACTTTACCTGTTCTGCAGCTGAATGGAGAGCTGGAGCATGTGTATGCGCGAAGAAGAGTTCAGTCAGCTCAGTTCATGTATTGCGTTGGGGAAACCAGACCAAGAAGAGGGAAGAAGTTGGGGAGGTGAGCGGGAGACCTGTGGTGCCAATGACGGTGTAGGCATTGACGTTGGCCTCGTGGTGTATCAGCCTCGCCACGATCTCCTCCCGCCCTCGGTGCGCGGCCAGTATGAGAGGCGTGGCGCCCATCTTGTCCCCCACATTCACCTGACACACGACGACGACACGACACACGACGACACACACGACACGACGACACACGACACGGCAGTCAGCCACACGTGGTGTCGGCCAGCCAGCGTTCGAGGCGCCGACGAGCGAGACGTACGTCGAGGCCGGGGGCCGAGGTCAGGAGGATGTCGACGATGTCCTCCGACGCAAACTGCACCGCGTCGTGTAGCGGCGTCGCTCCTCCCCTGTTCTGCTTGTTCACGTCAATCTCTACACCCCCACACGACACTATACGCACACCGCACACGACACGAGCATGTTTGAGAGTGTAGCGCGCTGAGGGTTGTGTGTGTGTTGTGTGCGTGTGCGTGTGTGTGCGGCGAGTACCAGGGCAGGAGGAGAGGAGGAGGATGAGGAGGTCCGCGCTGCCGGCGGTGACGGCGGCGTGCAGCGGTGTGCGTGCGTCGAGCGGGTCCTGCGCGTCGGCCCGCACGCCGCGGCGCGTGAGCTCGAACACGGCCGCCTTGTCCCGCGTCTCGCACGCCCACAGCAGCTCCGCGGTCTCTTCGGCCGAGGACTTCCGCTTCTCCTCCCGCACCTCTTCCTCTACTGCCTCCGCACCGGCTTCATCTTCTTCATCTTCATCCTTTCCATTCTCATCTCCATCATCTGCTCTCGTGGCTTCGTTCGGTCGATTTCGAGGCGATTGGGTGGGCGTAGCAGATGCACCGGCGGTGTAGTCACCCCCCTCTTCCTTTGCCACCTCTTCACCGCAACTGCCAACTTCAACTTCCGCTTCTTGCTCTGCTTTGACGTCGCTGTCGTTGTAGTTGTTGACTGAATTGGTTTCGTATTGTGGCCGGTCCTCAGGGGCGGGCACCGACGCAGGCAGCGGCGCCTCCATGTGTGCGAGCAGTGCTGCAGGTTGGATGATGGTGGTTGTCCCTCATCAGTGCTTCCACCTTGTTTTTCCATTTTTATAGTTATTTCTTTGTCTTCAGAAAGAAATTAAGGAAAAGAAATGAAGCGTTAAAAACACGAACAAGATGAGCAACCAGCAACGGCAACGCATGTTCCAGGTCGATGACTCGTGGGGTACATGCCTCTGCCCTCTCATGTAAAGAAGGTTCAGGAAAAGGTTACGGAGGTGGAACTTAATCCTATAATGCCCGGCAACAGGAAATGAGGATGAGAAATGCGTTGTGTGCACTCAAACAGGTACTTATCCTCCCTAATCGTGGCTCTCCTCTTCTACTGTATTTTTTGATTTTTTAAAACATTATTAGTAGTAAACTTATATTTATTATTTGTTTTTAATCTATTCTGCGCAGTGTACCCGAGCGAGCGGCTGTCTGTGGAGGGCAAGATCTTCCACAAGCCCTGCTTCAAGTGTGCCGAGTGCAAGTCCACCCTGAGGGCCGGCAGCTACGCCGCCATCGAGGGCGTCTACTACTGCAAGCCCCACTACGCCCAGGCACGATGCCGTCGCGCCTCTCCTGCGCTACCAGATCTCTGACGTGTGTTGTGTTGTGTTGTGCGTGTGGTGCGTGCGGTGCAGAAATTCAAGCTGAAGGGGAACTACTCGGAAGGGTTTGGGCTGGAGAAGCCCACGGCCAAGTGGAGTGGCAAAGCGGACGCCTCGCCAGCGGCCGCGCCCGCACCCGGTGAGGTCGAGCCATCAGAATCATCATCATGAGTGAAAGTGACACCATGCAACAACGACAACGAAAACAGTTAACATAATTGTGAGGCAGAAAAAAAGAAAAGGCAGTGAAAATATCGTTTTTTTCTTGACTGACTGAGGACGAGCAGGCAGCAGATGCGCGAGGCCGGGCAGGAGGGAACAGAGGTCTTCGGCTCGCGGGAGGCAAGCCACGCCGGGGACGACTCCTCAGCCAAGTACGTCTGCCCTCTTGCGCATTCCCCCCATTCTCGGCTGCCTGTCGAGAGGGGCCGGCCTGACTCCCGTGTCGCGCGCACCAAAGGGGCGAGCAACCGCAAGCCACAGAACGGAGCCCCGTGCGCCAGCTGGTGGTGGGCCTCCTCGTCATTGCCGGTACGCGCACCACCTCTCTGTCTTTTGGAGTGGTGCTGGCACCACCAGTCTGCACGTCCGTGCCATGGCTCACACCCGCGCGTGAGCGACGCACCAGGTATCTTGGCTACGTGGGTGGGGTCCGCCGAGGTGGGTCAGTTCACCGAGACCGAAGCCAACTACGACAAGACCTTCTTCATCGTCTACCTCAACAACACATGGTAGCCCACCAGCTGTCGCAGTTCTTTTTGTGCGCCTGCGGCTGATTCCTTCCCGTGTGCGTGTGCGTGTGCGTGTGCGTGTGCGTGTGCGTGTGCGTGTGCGTGTGCGTGCGTCATGTGGTGGCACGCGTAGGCAGATCATGTGCCTCCCGCTTTATGTGATCTTTGTGGGGGTTGGGGGCTTGATGGGCAAAGGAGCCGGGGACGAAGGCATCGCGGCCCACCTCACCCGCAAGATGCGCGAAGACGGCCTGTCGTGGCCCAAGGTCTTCCTCGCCGCCTTCGTGTCGGGCTTCTTCCTCATCGTGGCCGACTACTGCTACTTCCTGGCCCTGTCCATGACCTCCGCCGGTATACCACTCGCTCGACGCTTCACATGCGTCGTCGTGTGTGTCGTGTGTGTCGCGTGTGTCGTGTGTATCGTGTGTGTCGCGTGTGTCGCGTGTGTCGTGTGTGTCGTGTGTCAACTGAACGTCGAGTGGGGGTGAATGGTGAATGATTCAGGCACGGGTATTGTTCTATTCAGCCTGTCGTCGATCGTGACGTACCTGCTGTCGATCGTGGTGCTCAAGGAACCGATATCCGTGCTCAAGATCCTCTCCCTCGCGCTGTCGTTCGGCGGCGTGGTCATGATCACCTTCGGCGACCGAGAGAACGCTAAAAGTACGCACGCACACGCACACGCACGCACACCACCGCACGAGCACGCACCAATGGGGAGAGGTGTGTACTAATAAAGATGCTCAGACTCTGATCTGAAGGACAGCTGGAAGGGCGACATCATCATGGCCGGTGGTGCTTGCTTCTGGGCTCTGTACCTGGGTGCCGTTATCTCCCCTCCCCCCACAACAACCTTCGCCACCCGGGTGTGTTGACGCTTTTGATTTGTTTTGTTTCATGGCCTTACTCGTGACAGTGACCTACAAGAAGTTCGTCGGTGATCCGTCGCACACGACGATCAACGTGCAGAGCACGCTCGTGGGGCTCATTAGCGTGTTCTTCTCGTGGCCCGTCCTGTTCATTCTCCACTACACGGGCGCCGAGAAGTTTGAGTTGCCATCGGGTACCGCGGCGCCCCGCAGTGGTGTGGTCACAACCTTTCCAGCGATCCGCTTAACCACGGCCTCTTATTCTTCTTCTTCTACGTAGGCGGCCTGCAGATCGGCATCTTGGTGGCCACCACCTTCCTGGTGTTCTGCAACAACTACATGTTCACCTTTGGTGTCGCGCTCACCGCGCCGGGCTTTGTCACGATCGGTACTACTCGCTCATTTCAAACTGGGCCAGCCCTGATAGCTGTCCGACTCTAACTGGGTGGGGTGCGCTAGGGAGCATGTTGGCCATCCCTGCCTCGGCCATCGTGGATCGATTCGTGCGAGATGTGGCTTTCCCTCCGCTCAAGATCGGTACGTACAGCGCCACCGCAAACGCACGCAAAGGTGATGTTGATGAGGTTCGCACTTTGGTTTGCGGCGCACTGCGCAGGTGGCACTGCGGCGGTGGTGGCGGGCTTCCTTCTGCTCAACATCGACGATCGCTGGCTGTGGGCCAAGATCAAGTCCCTCTTCTGCTGCTCATCGGCTGGATATTCGCGCCTCCCGCTTGACCCGTTGGACCCAACCGACAAGCAACACGAGCCCAGCTACGACGCACGCGACTTCTCGCTCAACGCAGCCTGAATGCACGCGCATTTTTGTCATACCAGCACAAGAATTTTTGGAATGTTGGGAATATTCCCGCCAAAAGTAACGGTGAGGAGGGCTTGGAGTTTCCACCCAAACACACGGCTGTGCGCGGTGCAGATTTGAGGACCTGTAATCTGAACACAGTTCTGATTCAATTGAAGAAGAGAAGGAACGATGGACCGCCTGAGACGGAAACGAGACACTGCAGCAACTCCTGCAGCTGGGTCGAGTACAGCTGGTGTCGCATCGCGGACGCGTGCGGCTACACGAGATCAGAAGATTCAGAAGGCCAAGGAGGCCGAGAAGGAAGGCAAGGAGAACAAGAAGGTCATAGCGTCGTCGGCAGCGAAGCCTAAGAGCAAGGAATCAGCAGCGTCGAAGATCTCGAATGTGAAGGAAAATGCGCGCATCCCTGGCGGGTCATCTCGAAGGGCAGCACCCAGCAATGTCGCAGCACCAGCAGCCACAACGGCCACCAAGGCACCACATCCCTCTACGCATCGTTTGGAGGAACCTGTGAAAGTCCCTCCGCGCCCCAGGCGTGAGGTGGCGACGGCGGCCAAGGCGGGCAAGGCGAGCCCAGGCTCGCCGCGGAAGCGCAAGAAGGCAGAGGCAACGAGTAGCACCAAGGGGTCGGCCGCCATCGAAGAAGAGGACCCCAAGCGCGCACGGTGCCGAGGACGTCAGGAGGACGTTCTTGCTGAGAAGACGCCGGTGCCTCACCTCCTGCAGGAGAGGCTGCTCAGCCGACCGGCCCGCCTGCTGCTCTCCTTGCTTCGCCAGTCGCTCCGGGCACGCCTCTCTACCCGCGCCTCGACGTGGAGACCAGCACGCCGCCCTCTTCGCCAGCAGCGGCAGCACGCTCTCTTTCGCCGCGCGGACAACCAGGTAGAGATCTATGAACAGCTCACGTCGCTGGAGTAGTACTCACCGCCCGTTCGTTTCACCCCAGGACCCGCTGCGGCTAGCTACGGCGTGATTCCCTTCAGCGTCTCCACCGAAGAGGCCCTCGCTACATTCACTCAGTGGAAGTCCAACCTGTGGTACGTAATGTGACGCCGCATACTATCAGCCTGCCCCATCTCACGTTAGCGACTCACTCCGTCTGCCGCACGCCCGCAGGTTTGCGCCGTCGGACTTCAACGAGGCCACGGAGAACCCGGTGGTGGAGAAGGTGTGGGTGCCCTATCACGCAATGACGGTCGCAGTCGACGCCACGCTGATCGCCACCACGACCACTACGGCCCCTACGGTGGCCACGACTAGCACATCTACGCCCACGAAAACGCCTCCGCGCGCGCCCAGGCAACAGCAAGTCGCGTGCGAGCTCAGCGGCACTGAGCGGATCTTTGTGTGCGCCGCACAGTTCGAGGATGAACGACGTCGGCTCAAGCACGTAGAAGACGAGGAGCTGCTGGCCTCTGAAGAAGAAGTCATCAGCGAGGCCCGTCGGCGCGACGAGGGAGGAGTGGTTCGGCTGGGGCTGGCCAAAGACGGGCTGATGCGCCTGGTCGACGGCGAGCTCCGGCAGAGGCTCGAGCGCAAGGGCAAGGCGGAGATCTGCCAGCATCATCAAGTCGCCGGCGTCGCCATGAAGGAGGCGGACATCAAGCACACCAAGATGGACAAGCTGCGCGTGCGCATCGAGAAGGATAGGGCTGTGCTCATGCCCGTCTATGTGATCTCCTACCACTACGGGACTACCGCCGACGAACCATCCGTGGGCTGCAGCACGAGCAGCCACGGCACCGCTGGGCAGGGTCGTGCCCGGTTCGTCTTTCTCGTCAACGGCACCACGCGCAAGTGTTGGGGCGAACGGCCCTGGGGCATGGGCACTCTGCTCAGGTAATCCATCCGAGCCCTTATGTGCGTGTGCGGTCGTGTGTGCGCGTGTGCGGTGCGCGTGCGGTGCTGGCTCATCTCACGGGGTACGTGAGCACAGCAAAGGGATCGGCGCGTTGACCAGCATCCTGGGCACGGACGACGAGGACCGAATCGGGCTGGTCGAGGGAGCTCTCCTGCGACGAGTCGACTGCAGTCCGCACTACGAGCGCGACTCGCTCTACCTCGTCTTCCCGCCGTCGCACTCCTATCTCATCACCAGCGCGCCCGGCTGGATCAGGCTCAAGAACTGCAGCGGCGACAGCGGCGACGCCGATGGGCACCACGTCGAGCTGCTCTCGTGGCGTCGCAAGGGCGAGCGACCGCTCGGCCGATTCACCCTCGCGCCCGGACAAGAAGAAGTGTTCGACTTTAGGGTAACCATCATCACCACCTTCCTCAAGATCGATGAAGTGTACAACTCACACTGGCGATTGATGATGGTGATGCAGGGCCGCTGGTGCATTGAAGTACGCGCCTCTGCAAAGCTTCGCTCTTCGTCGCCCGTTCAAGTGGTGGGCTTTGAAACGACGGGCGGAGGCGGCTACGGCAACAAGCTCAACATGCACCACGAGGGACTTTGGTAAGAGAAGAGTATGTCCGACACCAGAATCAAGAAATAAATAGCCATAACATGTTAAGGTGGCGGCACACGTCATGTAATGTGCAGTGAACCTAGGTTCTCCGTGGTCACCGAAGAACGACTGAACTGCGTGAGCCGGCTTACTCCGGATTGGCTTCTCTTGATTTATTCCAGAACCCAGGCAACGGCCCAACCACAGACAAAGGTCCAGCAAGGTCAACACAGCAAAACACTTCAGATACCGGTTACCGGCAGAGCTCCACACACAGCACAACACCACAAGAAATGGCGCAGGGACGACAGGAGGCTGCCAAGTTGCTGGCCGAACAGCAAACGAGGCTCAGCGCGGTCGAGGGCCTCTCTGGCGTCAAGCTCGCTCTCGACTTTGACCACTTCATAAACCATCACAAGTACCCTCCGCTTTCGTTTTTATGAGGGCCCTTCGCGTTCTAACCGTGCGCGGGCTCCTTCAGCTTCAAGGAGAGCTCTCGGCAGGACGACCTCCTCCGAAGCTTGGTATCAGACGTCGTAGAGAAGGGCCTCTGGGCCTCCGACGAAGGGTGCGTCATTATCGTTTTATTAAAATACGTAATTCGAGAAAGAACAATAATAAATAATAAGTAATAAATATTAAATATTAAATAATGAAATATTAATTGTTGTTAATATCTGATATCTTCTTTTTTGCTGTGCAGGTTGGTGGCCTGGCTCAACAAGAGCGAGCGAGCGAGACAACTGTTTGCGGCGGGCACGGAGCGTTGCGTGGTGCGCCTGTCGGCCGACAACCAGGTCGACTCGGGCGTCGGCAACTCGTACTACATGATCCGCTTCGAGGCCCCGAAGACAATGGTGGTCACCGCGCGCATGGACTGCGTCACCTACACCGACGGCTGGGGTCCCAAGGTTGACGAGCAGCTCGGCCTGCACGTGCTCGACGAGGTCTACGTCAACGAGGGCGCCGACAAGCTCAAGCGCGCCGAGGAGCGGTTTAGGTCCGACTTCGCGGCCGACGCCGACCTTCCGCTGGAGGTCGACTGGGCCAGCTTCGTCGCCTCGCCGCAGTTCCGCGAGCGCGGCGACAGCTCGCGCCAGAGCGTGGTCCACAGCGTGGTCGAGTCCCTGATCGAGCGCGGCCTGTGGGACTCGAGCGAGGGCCTGCTGACGTGGCTCGCCAAGAGCCCCCGCGCGCGGGCCATCGTGCTTTCGCGCGTCGCGCGTATCGTGGTGGCGCTCAGCCCCGATAGCAGCGGCATCGAGCCGCGCAACGGCAACTCGTACTACCAGCTGCGGCTCGTCGACGGCGTGACGCTGGCCGTGACCGCGCGCATGGACTGCGTCACCTACACCGACGGCTGGGGCCAGAAGCTCGACGAAGAGCTCGGCCTGCACGTGCTCGACGAGGTCTACATGAAGGAGGCCACCGAGCTGGTCGCGCGGCAGGAGGAGCGGCTCCAGGCCGACCTGGGCGGGGTCGGCGTGCTGCTGGAGGTCGACTGGGCCAGCTTCGTCGCGAGCCCTCAGTTCCTTGAGCGCGGCGACAGCTCGCGCCAGAGCGTGATCCGCGCCGTGTCGGAGTCGGTGATCGAGCGGGGCCTGTGGGACTCGAACGAAGGCCTGGTGTCGGTCTGGATCAACGGCAGCCGTCGCGTGCGCCGGCTGGTGCTCGAGCGCGTGAACAAGATCGTGGTACGGCTGCAGCCCGACGGCTCACTGCCGGCCGTGGGCACGGGCAACTCGTACTACCAGGTCGAGCTCGACACGCGCGACGGCCAGCAGTCGCTGGTTGTGACGGTGCGGCTCGACTGCGTGACCTACACGGACGGCTGGGGCCAGAAGGTCGACGAGCGCCTGGGCCTGCACTACCTCGACGAGACCTACCTGCGCAAGGCCACGCAGGAGCTCGCCACCAAGGCCGCGGCGCTGCAGTCTGACCTATCGGGCGCCGGGGTGAAGCTGCACGTCGACTGGGACTCGTTCGTGCGCGCACCGCAGTTCCTCGAGCGGGGCGACAGCTCGCGCCAGAGCGTGATCGACAGCGTGATCGAGTCTGTGATCCAGCGCGGCGTGTGGGACGGAAGCGACGGCCTGGTGGCCTTTGCGCGCGAACACCCGGAGGCGTCGCTGGCGTCGCTGGCCGCCGTCGTAGTCAAGCTGTCGCCCGACTCGCAGGTCGACTACGAGACCGGCAACTCCTACTACGGCCTGAGCGTGAGCGCCGGGCCGACGATCACCGTCACGGTGCGGCTCGACTGCGTGACCTACACCGACGGCTGGCTCGAGAAGCTGAACCACCACCTCGCCGACCTCAAGTCAGCAACCAAGGCGGCCGTGGATCTGGATCAGGTGCACGAGTACCTGCAGGAGCAGCCGGAGCCCACGTTGCCCGGGCCGGCCATACCCTGTGACATCCACGCCTACATGCTGGCGCCGGGCCAGATCGCGACTCCCCAGGTTCGCCTTCGTTCTTCGCTTTTTTTCAACTCCGATAACTGACTGTTTTAACTCCTATTCCATAATCAGTTGAGCGAAGAGGCCAAGCAAGCTCGCGAGCAGGCACTCGCGGCGGCCAAGGCCCGGAAGGAGGCCGAGGAGGCCAAGAAGCGCGAGGCCGAGGAGCTCCAGCGGCAGCGCATCGAGGAGCAGCGCCGCAAGCGCGAGGAGGCCCAGGCCGCCATGCGAGCCCGGCAGGCCGAGCGCCAAAAAACCGCCGGCCGACCCCTGCCCACGCCCGGCGGCGCCAGGCCCACCTCCGCCTCCGCGTCCAAGGCCGCCGGCGCGCCCGACGAGTCCATCGCCGGCGTCAAGGACCTGCTCAAGGACCTCAAGTCCTACGAGTCACAGTTCAACTCGGCCGTCGGTGGCGGCTGCGCTGTAGAGTTCGCTGTAGACTGGAGCTTCACGACCGACCGCGCCTTCACCGGCCTCACCGACGACCAGCGTCGTTCCTGCGTCTCCTACCAGCTCCAGAGCAACGTTAGCTCGCTCGCCAGCCAACTGAACTCGGTCGCGCGCGACACGACGGCCCGAGAGGAGATCCAGTCGGGCCTCTTCACGCGGGTCGTGGTGGGCTTCGACATGGCCAACGCCATCAACTCGTGCGTGGTCGACAGCGAATACGCGCGGTTCTACGAGGTGGCGCTGCGCGACGGCGAGCTGCAGCTGCGGATCAACTTTAACAAGCGTGAGGCGGGCCTGAGCTCGCTCGACGACAAGCTGGCCTGCGCGCTCAACCTCCAGGTGGCACAGAGCCAGGCCGAGACGCGCCGCGAGCTCGACGCGCTCGAGAAGCGCATCGCCGCCGAGCTCGGGGCCGCCATTGCACTCGACGTCGACTGGGCCGCGTTCACCGAAAGCGACGCCTTCCTGGGCGGCGCGCTCCGGCACGAGATCGTGCCTCACGACGACCTGCGTCGCTACCGGTCTGTCATCTACAACCTGCACTACCAGTACGTGCAGGGCGTGATCGCCAGCTCGGACAGCCTGCTCTACCTGTGCCGCGACGACGAGATCTACCGGGCGGCGGTGGTCGAGCGCATCGCGTCGATCGTGTTCGCCTACGACCCCGCCGACGGGGTCAAGTCGCCCGTGGGCGGCGATTACGCGCGCCACTGGGAGCTGAAGCTCGACGCGCCGGCCAAGCGGCTGCATGTCACCATCAACCTCTCCAACGTACCCATCACCACCTCACTCGCTCGCTCGCTTCTGCAACTCTGTGCTCACCTCATCGTGTGTTGTATGTGCCATGTTGTGTGTCGTGTGTGCCGTGTGTGTCGTGTCGTCCAGAACAACCAATCGCCGTATGGGGCGAAGGAGAAGTGGGACGAGCTGATGCAGCTGCGCACGGCCCAGGGCATCCGCAACGCCGAGAGGGAGATCGCCGACATGGTCGAGCGCGAGCGCGCGCGGATCGGCAAGCGGGTCGAGGTAGAGGTCGTCTGGGACTCCTTCACCAGCCACCAGGCCTACTCCGCGCTCACGCTCGACGCCAAGTCGTCGCTGCTCCGCAACGTCCACTCGCAGCACGTCGAGGCCCTGCTCACCAGCAGCTCCGGCCTCGGCTACCTGTGCGCCAACGACGAGATCTACAAGCGCACGATCCAGGCCCGGATCGACAAGGTGGTGCTGGCCTACGACCCGACCAACGCCGTGCGCGACCCGATCGGCGGCGAGTACGGTGCGTTCTACCGGGTCGAGCTGATGGCCGACGACCGACGCGAGCTGCGCGTGACCATCAACCTCGACAAGGCGGGCCAGAGCCTGTACGCCCTTAGCGATAAGCTGGACGAGGTGCTCGACGTGCGGGTCGAGCAGAAGCAGCGCGACGCCAACAAGGAGATCGATCAGCTGCGGGCCGAGCTCGCCGCGGCCTTTGGCTCGCCGGCGGTCGCGCTCGCGGTCGAATGGGAGTCGTTCACCTCCCACACCGCGTTCCTGGCGAAGCCCCTGGAGGAGCGCGGCCGGGTCGTGTCGCAGATCAACAGCCAGCTGCTGGGCACCATTGTCAACAGCAGCGATGGGCTGGCCCGCACGGCGGCGAACGAGCCCACGGCCAAGGCCATTCTCGCGCGCGAGATCAAGTCGGTGGTGGTGGCGATCGACCCGACGAACGCGGTTGTCGACAGGGTCGCTGGGGACAGCGAATACTGTCGGCACTACCGCCTGGTCCACTCGGGCGCACCGGCGTGCGAGCTGCGCGTGGTCTGCAATCTGAACGCTGTCGACAAGGGCCTGTACTCCTTCTGCGACAAGGTCGACACTCTCTTCGACCTCTCCGTGGCCAAGGCCCAGCGCCAGGGCCAGGCCGAGCTCGATAAGTTCGCCGCTGCGCTGCGCGCGCAGGGCATCTCCGTCGCTGTTGACGGCGGCGTGCGGATCGACTACGCCCGCTTCGTCGGCGCGCCCCAGTTCGTGGCCCAGCCGGCGGCCGAGAAGGGCCGACTCGTTACGCGTCTGATCGACTCAGGCGTGTCGGCCGTGGTCGAGGGCAGCGACGGCCTCCTCCGCCTGTGCGCCGCCGAGCCCGCCGTAGGCGAGTGGGCCAAGGCCCACGTCCGCTCGGTCGTGCTGGCCTACGACCCGGCCTCGACCATCAACGACCCGGCCTCCGGCGGCGGCCGTGGTGAGAGCTACTCAGCCTTCTACAGCGTGGCCCTGAGCGACGACGGCGAGCTGGCCATCACCATCAACCTCAGCAGCGCTAACAGCGCCTCGAGCCTCTACGAGCTGCCTCACAAGCTGCGCGCGCAGCTCCACTTTGCCGACGCCCGCAAGCGACGGTTCCCGGCGGCGCTGGAGCGGCACCGCAAGGCGATGGAGGCGGCGGTGGGGCACCAGGTGGCGCTGGCCTTTGATTGGCGGAGCCTGGACAACCCGGGCTTCCTCTATTGGCGGCCGGCAGGCAGCGCCAACGAGGCCCTCGAGACCGCGTTCGACCGCCCGACCGGCTTCTTCGCCCAGCTGGCCCAGCTCGTCGCCGACGTCTGCAGCACGCCCATGGGCAAGCAGGCCTTCGCCGCCGCAGTGTCGCGCGTGGCTGTTACCGCGTCGTCGGCCGCATCGACGTCGACGACGCTCACCATCACCGCCGACCAGAAGCTGCTCGAGGTGGTGGCGCCGGCGGGCCTCGAGCGGCGCCAGTCGGACGTGGCCCAGTGGCGCGAGAGCGTCGAGCACCAGCTCGGGCAGACCGTGGCGGTGGCCAAGCACTACGCGCTGCTCAACGTCGCCCGCGTCGAGCAGGAGATGAGCGCGACCGTGGGCAAGCGCGTGCCGGTGACGATCGACTGGCGCCACATCGAGGCCCCGGCCTTCATCGAGCGCCATGGCCCGGCCCTCGCCACCCGCCGCATTCGCACCCTGTCGCAGGCCCTCACCGAGTCGCTCCTGGTGCGCGGCCTCGCCGCCGTGTGCGCCCACCCGGTCGGCAAGCGCACCGTCAACGAGGCCATCGTGCGCGTCGTGATCAGCCTCGACCCCACCGCCGACTACTCGCCCACCGTCTACGGCCACTTCCCGTCCCTTCTCACCATCGCTTCGGATAAAACGCTGACGCTGCGCACCGACGAGGAGGCCGCAGCGGCCAAAGAGCGCTTCAAGGAGCGGATCGAGTTCGCGCTCGACCTGGTGGTGCGGATCGCCGAGAGCAATGCGCAGGCGCGGCACGACGCGGCCCAGGCGGCGGTGCGCGCGGCTGTCGGGCGGCCGACGCTCAAGATCGAGCCCGACCTGGGCTTCACCGCGCTCCAGGCCTTCCGGGTGCTGCCGCCCGCCCAGCAGGCCGACATCGTCACCGCCCTCTGTGCCGCGTTGCCCGAGGCGGCCCTGGCCAGCCCCGGCGGCCTGCTGGGCGTCGTGGCCCACCCGGTCGGCAAGAATGCGATGAATGCGCCCGGCGTCGACGTCATTCATCTTTCGGCGGATCCTGACAATCGCCAGCCGTCGCCCAATGGCGCCCTCGCGCTCGGTTCCGGCGGAAAGAGGCTCGAGCTGACCCTCAACATGCGCGACGTGCTGGCCGCGGTCGAGCGGCCCGACTGGAAGCCGCGCATGGCCGACGCGCTCGGCGTGCTGCTGGACGTGGCCAAGGCCGAGGCCGCCACCGCGCTCGCACCCACCGCGGCCAAGCTCGGCGCGGCCCTGGGCCGGCCTACGCCGGTCGCGCTCGACTGGTCCGCCTTTGTCGGCGCGCGCGAGTGGACCGAGCTCGAGGCCGGTGCCAAGCTGGGCATCTCGGCCGACGTCGCCGGCCCGCTGGCCGCCCGCGCGCTGCTCGGGTACCAGGGCCTGGCCGGCCTCGCCGAGTTCGACGACGTCAAGGCCACCGTCAACCAACACATCGCGTCGGTCCGCATCGTCGTCGAGACCCGCGCCGGCGCGCAGACGACGGTGAACGCGGCCAACGGCGCGTTGACCCTGTCGCTGCCGCTCGACCAGCTTAAGTCCAGCGACTTTGAGCTGCCACCGGTGCGGTTCCTGGTCGAGGCGGCGCTGGGCCTGAAGCCCGCAATCCAGGCCGCCGTGGTGCGCGAGACCGAGGCGGCGCTGGCCAGCGGCACCGAGGCCGGCCTGTCGCGCGCGCTGGGCAAGCCGATCAAGGTCACCATCGACTGGGCGGCGCTGTTCGGGTCGGCCCTGTACCGCGGCACGCAAGACTACGTCGGCTTCATCCGAAAGCGCGTCGCGCCGCTGCCGGCGACCGCGTTCGAGGGCAAGGACCGCGACAGCCTGGCGGGGCTGTGGTCGGCCAACGACGCCGCGCGGCGGGCCATGGCCCAGCGCTTCGGCGAGCTCAAGCTGGTGGTCGACACCACCAATGCGTGCCACCCGCCCCAGTTCAGGTTCGTGCCGCAGTACTACCGCGCCGATGCGGAGGGGGCCACGCTGGCCGTCCACATGCGGATCGACGAGCAGGGCGGCCGCGGGTGCGGCGCGGTGGTCGAGTGGGTGCTCACCCCCGACGTCGCCGCCGCCAAGGAGAAGGCCGAGATCGCCCGCATCGGTACCGTCTGCCGTCTGCGCCCAACGTTGTTTGTCTTATTTTTCACGTGCGGCGATGACTGACTTGTGCGTTTGTTGACTGATCCATCAGCCAACGAAAGACGTGCCGATGAGCTGGCGCGGCGCGATCGTATGGTGCGCGACGCGGCCGCCGACAACGAGCGCGCGCAGAAGGACTACCAGCGCGACATCAAGAAGTACGAGAGCGAGATGAAGAAGTACGAGAAGGATGTGAAGGAGAAGCACCTGCACTGCAAGGGCACGGGCTGGCTGTCGTGCGGCGGCTCGTACCACCAGAAGAACTCGATCCTGAGGTCGTGCCAGTACTGCAACGGCAAGGGCGGCCACAAGTGCGGCCTGTGCAAGGGCACGGGCCTCAAGTACCCCAACCTCAAGCCGCCCAGCGTGCCCAAGCAGCCGAAGCTCAAGCCCATCCCGACCTTCGCCTCCATCGACTCCATCGACTTCACCCGCAACATCTCCTGATCTCCGTGACATCAACATCATCATCGACATCAACACAAGAAAAAGAAAGAGTGACCCACATTCAAATGCCAACATAGAGAGAGAAGAGTATTGGCCTGTGCAGTGCTCATGTTGTGCTTGTGTGGTTAGAAGAAGCGAAGCGAGAGGGGAGATGGCTACTGGGCGGTGACGCGGGTGGTGAGGGAGTCGGCGACGGAGTCCATGGTGGCGGCCAGCCGTGTGGCCCACTTGCCCAGCACGCCTCGCTTGGGCATGTTCGGCTATCCATGACATCCATGGTTGGGGATTAACACCAACACCCGCAATGATGGTGGAGAAGAGTGAGACTTACATGAGGTCTGGTTGGGGCGTTGATCCGGGCCTTTTGGATCTTGTAGCTCATGGTGAGCAGCACATCGCGCTTGACGTTATCGTGAAGCCGGGCAAAGAGGCGCTCCTCTTCCTCCTTGAAGTGCGCCTCGGCATTCTAGGGCAAGAGCACACGAAAGTCATGTTAGCTATACTCTTAGGGTCACACACACAAGCTCCAGGAAGGGGCCATACGTCCATGATGAAGCGCATCTTGTCGTCAAAGTAGGGGTCGAGCGGTTTGATGTACATCACGTCGCTCATCGCGCGCTCGAGCTTCGAGTGTTGGCTGTGGAAGAGACTTTCGCGTGAGCAGGTTGGGAATCCCTGGTTTTGGAGAGAGGCTGAGTACTCGAGGTGCTCCTTCACGAACGCGGAGCCGTTGAAGAGGAAGCGCTCCGCCAGAGGGTACAGAAGCTTCTCCTGTTGTTGGCCAGGGTTGAGTCATGATGGTGCCCTTGATAAGTAGAATGACATCACTCTCAAAGGGGATGTGCCTCGACTGAAGTGTGAATGCACAGCTCCTTGATGATCTCATCGGCGAGGCGCTCCTTCTTCTCGAGCTCGTCCTCTTCTAGATCTGTACAAGAGGAGCCAACCTCAGCTTCACCACTGAGTCTCACTGCGGAGGGAGCAGAACACGAGAGGGCCAGTACCGCGAAAGAGAGAGAAGAGGATGCGTAGCGAGTCGTGGTCACGCTTCAACAGAGTCAGGCCGTCCATCTCTGTGAGTCCAATGGACAGCGACTGAGCCACCCATCCACAAGCGTTGTTTGTACTGCTGGAGGGGGTAGCGCGCACCAGCTAGCAGAGGATTGCGAGGGGACATAGCATCGCCGCTCTTCCTGATGCCGAAGCTCGTGGTCATCGTCAGCAACTGCTGCGTTCAAGCTTGCTTCCTGGTTCTGGTTTCTTGTTCTGAGTGTGTGCGTGCAAAGCTTGAGGCAAGCTTGTCATCGTCCTCTAGCTAGACGAAGGTGTTCCGCGGAAGGAGAAAAGGCAGCGAGCGGGGAGCGGGGTGCTGAGTCGCAGAGATTTACTTCAAGTTCGCCTGGGGGTGACGCTGCCATCGGCAGCTCACTCCCACTTGGCACTTCATGATGACAGGATCGAGCGCGCGCTTGAGGCTAAGGGAAAGGAGTCTCCTCCCCTTCGCCCACAGAGTCGCTTCTTCGTAGAGGTATGTACACGAGACTGATAGTGATGCGCTTCTCTTACCGTCTTCGTTGGTTAGGTTGGGTTGGTTGGTGTCTCTAGTCCAGGCCTCCGCCGGCGGCTTGCATCTTAGGGGGCAGCTGCTTCTGAGTGAGTTCGTCGTCGGAGCCGAGGTCGACCTTGTCGGCGTAGGAGATGGTGGCGGGCTTGGCGCCGTCGATGTGGAGGCTGTCGAGCTGGACCGAGAGCTCGCCGTCGTTCCACCACCCATGGACGATCTCGCCGTCCTTGCTGACGTAGGTGCCCTTACCGTGTGACTTGCCGTTCTTGCACTCGCCCTCGTAGTAGCTGCCTGAGGCCCAGGTGTACTTGCCGAAGCCCTCCTGGCTGCCCTGGTGGAAGTCGCCCTCGTAGCTCTCTCCCTGTAGATGAGGTGATGGCGCTCAATCATTAGCTTGACGTCTCACAACGATGAGACGCAATCGGTGCACGTACCTCGGGCCAGGTGAACTTGCCCTTGCCGTGCTTCTTGCCGTGGCGCCACTCTCCCTCGTACTTGCTACCGTCCTTCCAGTAGTAGGTGCCTGTCAACTCCCAGGTCAGTATAAAGCTATCCCATCACCGGCGGGCATGAAGTGCGCGTACCCTTGCCGTTGGGCTTGCCATTGCGGTAGTCGCCTTCGTAGCGGTCACCGAAGCTCCAGACGAACAGGCCCTTGCCGCAGGCTTTGGCATCCTTCCAATCGCCCTCGTAGCGAGACCCGCTGCACAAATACCACGACTACAAGTGAGCGTGCGAATCACTCGCTGGTCTAAAGCTGAGCCTGTTGCGTACCTGGGCCACGTCTTGGTGCCTTGCCCGTGAGCCTTGTTCGCCTTCCACTCACCCGTGTGCTTCGTTCCGTTACCGAAGTGGAGGGTGCCGCGGCCCTGCTTGACGTCCTCCTTCCACTCTCCCTCGTACTTGCACTGGCGACCCATCTCGTCGTACCAGGTGTACGTGCCCTGGCCTTCCTTCTTGCCGTTCCTCCATTCTCCTTCGTACTTCCGGCCGTCGGGCCACGTCATCACACCACTTCCGTGATACTTGCCTCGCTTCCACTCGCCCACATAGATTCGTCCCTGTTTATGAACGAAGAGCCTTCATCATCAGTACTGGGTTGAGAGAGCAAACGACGACTACGAAGCGAACACGTACGTCAGGCCAAGTGTAGGTGCCCTCGCCATGGTACTTGCCATTGCGCCACTCGCCTTCATATCTTCGTCCCTACAGAGTTCGCTAACGTGAGCATCATGCATAGGTGGGAGACCTGGACAAGAGGAGAACGTACATCGGCCCAGACGTAGACGCCCTGTCCGTGCCCCTTGTCGTTGCGCCATTCGCCCTTGTAGGTGTTGCCAACGGCCCACGTGTAGGTGCCCTCGCCATGAAACTTGCCGTCCTTGCACTCGCCCTCATAGCGGTCACCCCTCGCGTGGATCATGGTGCCACGCCCGTGCGCCTGGCCTTCCTTCCACTTGCCTTCGTATCTGTACGCAAAACGTAGTGAGATATGAAAGATGAACCATTCTCTTGAGGCGGAATTGTAGCGACAATGGCTGATGAACGAAGGCGAAGGCGTACCTGGTGCCATCCTTCCATCGCATGACGCCTCGACCGTGAGGCTTGCCATTTCGGACTTTGCCCGTGTAGACGCGGCCGTCGGGCATCTGCAGCTCCATATCGGCTTCCATTTCACTTGAGTCGTGTGTGAAGTGTAGTGCGTGCGGTGTACAGTCGTGTAGTGCGATGGTGGGATGAAGGAGAGAGTAGTGTAGGACTAACACTCAAGCCAACTCTGCAACCAAAGAAGGACAAGAACCTATCCGGCGGGTCTTGATAAATCGATTCGATTCGAGTAGAGAGTGAGCCTGCTTATCCGCTATGCTTATCGCCTTGTAAGATAGTCGTTGTGTCGATAGATGAGCTTCTGTTAGATCGTTCTTGCTGAAGATTTGAACCGCTACTTATGAGCTCTGGCACAAAAGGGGGCGAAAGAGGACCAAGGTCAAGCAAGCCTCGTCTTCCTGAGAAAATCGGCAGAGAGGGCGGCCTGGTCGCAGCCCATACGTCCGCATGACCGGAGTTGAAGGGGGTGAGTCCGGGATATAACCGGATTTCTGGAGATCATTCAGCCCCGGAGAAGAAGAGGTTAGCTTGCGGGCGGCAAGATGGCGAAAACTAGCTGGAAGCGGACTGTGGGTACGTCTTCATCTTGGCCATTGACAATGAACTTGATCTGGTGGATCGCTGGTTGTGGGATTGAGCTCAAGGCCAATCAAATGGCTGCGGAGGAGGTCCGCATAACCAAACAGCCTCAACATATTACTCCTGGCTTTTCTACCACTTCCACCTTGTGTTGGTGGGCACCATCACCATGCTCACCCCTACTGCGAGCTGGAGGCTTGTGGCCGAAGGACCAACCCCCAAGAGACTCGGCGCACAACTGGCCAATCGGTGGAGGCTTTGGCGGAAGGACAAGAAGAAAAGGATCATATTCTTTTTGTTTTCCCCAAGACTGACAAAGATCGATGACGAGCACCCCGCAGCACCAAGACTTCTATTTTGTGGTGGAGAAGATTGACGTGGTGCCTGAGCTTAGGGTACAGCTTGTATCAACGTCTCGGAAGATTTATTGGGGGGGGGGCACCACTAACATGGGGGGGTGAAGGAACGGGCACAGCAATATGAGAAGAGCATACGCGATAGCAACGCAAAGCATGTAGGCCAGCTCTTGGGCATCCACTACACAAAGATCACCAAGGATTCGGTGGTACGAAGACTGTGCGGTCGGTTCATTCCCCCCCCCCCTTTCTTTCCCTCACTTTCCTTTCTCATCCATCATAGGAAGCCACTATGCCCGTGACCGACAGACACCACCAAGTCATTGGCCTTCTGCATGGAGGCCTCAATGCTGCCCTTGTACGCCTCCTGCTCCCCACTACACGATTACTGACGGTTGTTGGTTGTGGGAATGGCTGACGTGTGGTGCGGCATTGGCGCGTTAGGCGGAGGACGTGGCCAGCACAGCTGCTACGCTGCACGTCGCCGACATGGCCAAGCAGTTCGTTGTGGGCAGCACCATCACTGCTAACCACATCCGCTCCGTCACCAGGTGCCTCCAACCTTCTACTACCACTTCTTTTTCAAAGGGTGCGCGCTCACTACTACCCGATCGACGTAGTGGCTTTGTTACGGCCACGGCGACAGTACAGCACAAGGGCCGTAGGCAGCAGGTGTGGCAGGTCACCATCCGCAACGAGAAGGGCGAGGTCGCGTGCGTGTCCTACTGCACCCTCGTCGTGCTCGACAAGAAGAGCGTGATCGGATCCGCCCAGAGGAACCACCAGCAGCAGCAACAGCAAGGTCAAGGCAAGGCCAAGCTCTGATGAGGAGAGTCGTCAAGTCATCGCTTGCCTCCTCCTGTACATATGTGTACACCTTTACCATCATGTTCATAAATAACGGCAACAACGCTAGCCCGGTGGTGTCTTGTGCGTGTCGTCGTGTCCAGCCAGGTGGTCGGGAACTTTTCCAATTGGCCGCCAGGCAAGTTAGCACAGCGGTTGTCCTGGTGTTGCTTGTTTGTGCCCTACAAACTCACCTTCTCCAACCCTTCTCCACCATCAGCACCATGGCCAGGCCAACTGTGCTCGTTGCCCTGTTCCTGGTGGCCATTTGCCTTGCCGCCACCTTCTCCGGTTCGCAGCCGTAGCCTTTGCGTTCCGTTCGTCTTTGCCTCCGAACTTAAAATCTAAATCGATATATTTCATCTTCACAGATGCTGCGAGCGTGCAGTTCGTCGCCTCCACTTCGGAGCTGCTCAACCCAGGCCGCGGTTGGTACTCCCAAGCCGACATGGACGTACCCGGAGGCGACCCCCTCAGCCTCGACGGTCCGTTCTACCCCCCCCCGCGCATGTTTATTCTGTAATAAAATAATATTCAATAAATTAGGAATTAATTTCACCAATAAGTTATCATTTATCCATTATTTAATAAATAAAAATAAAATCAATCTGTGGAGCAGACTTGGTGGACCTTCGCGATGGGGCGCCGCGCCAGTCGCTGCTGCTGCGCAACTACTGGCTGGTAGGCAACTCCTCCCTCAAGTTCAACCAGGGGTACCTTGCTCGCCAGGCCAGGCCTTGCCATGTGCGTGTGCGGTCGTCTGATCACAACCGCACACGCACGACACGCACGCCCGCACGCACGTTCACACGCACGCGACAGAGCGCCGTTGCCGCAGGAGTTCCTGACGACGATGTCCAACGACTTGGAGGCGATCCGTGAGGCCGGCATGAAGGCGCTCCTGCGGTTCGGCTACACCCACACTGATCCCACGGTGGAGGGCTTCGTGCCGCCCTACGGCGATGCCTCGCTGAGCGTCGCCTCGGCCCACATCACCCAGCTCTCCCCCATCTTCAAGGTATGCTCGTTTCCCGTCAGTGTGGCCCAACATGTGTGCTTATCGGTGTGTGCGGTGTTGGTAGGCGAACGCGGATGTGATCTTCACGATCCAGGCGGGTTTCATTGGGACCTGGGGCGAGTGGTACTACACCGACTATTGTACGCCCCCCCCCCAAATTTAATCTGTGCTGACAGCACCTCACATTCCTTACACTTTGGGGCGTGGGCAGATGGTGGCGTTGGGAACTCCTCCGGTGTACGTTCCACACCTTGGCTTTCTGCGCCTCTTCTGTACTCAGTGCGTCGTGTGTGCATGTCGTGTCGTGTCGTGTCGTGTGTCGTGTTGCATGCGTGCGTGTCCAGAACGCGGAAAGGAAGACGCTGCTCGACCGGCTGCTCGCGGCAACGTCGCCCTCGACCCCCATCGCCGTGCGCACCCCGTACTACAAGTACCAACTGCTGAACCGCAAGACCACCCTCTCCACTTCCGAGGCCTACTCTGGATCCAACGTCGCCCGGCTCGGTACCGCACTCGACCGCACACACCACACACCACACGCGCACACGACCGCACATTCGGTTGGGCTGACGTGGCACGGCGGCCACCCAGGTTTCCATAACGACTGCTTCCTGTCGTCGGCTGACGACTTGGGCACCTACGTCGACCCCGGCTTTGAGTATCCCTACCTGGGCAACGGTTCGCAGCTGAAGCGCTTTTCTTTCATTCGCGATTCGTGCGCTCACTACGTGGGCGCGTGCGGTGTGGCTTGGCGGGTCACAGAAACCAAGTACACGACCATGGGTGGTGAGACGTGTGCCAAGGACACCCGATCCAGCTGCTACGCGAAGGACGGCGGCGCGGCCCTGACCGAACTCGCCCGTAAGTCCCTAATCCAGCTGCCTTGCGCATGTGCTGACTGTGTTCCTTGGTGTGTGCGGTGTGTGCGGTGCGTGTGCAAAGGGTTCCACTGGAAGTACCTGAACATCGGCTACAACGAGCTCGTCATCAACACGTGGAAGAGCGAGGGCTGCTTTAGCAACATCACGCAGCGCCTGGGCTACAGGCTCCTCCTGTCGCCCAGCGCCACCCACACCTACACCAGCGCCGTCCGTCCCGGTCCGTCCCCAACCGGCCGCACATATTAATATTATATAATTATAACTATTATTATAATTATTATTTAAATTCATCTCATTACAAAAGATATTTCTTATATTTCTTGTTTTTTACAGGTCGCCGCTTTGATGTGTCGCTGGTGATCGAGAACGAGGGCTTCTCGGCTCCGCTCCACCAGGTCACTGTCTACCTGGTCCTCACCGCCGAGTCGTACGCACCCCACCCATTGCGCCTCAATCTGCATTCAACAAAGGTTGCCTCAAGTTGAACTGAGGTCTGCGTTTGTGTGCACAGGACTGTGTGGACCAAGCTCCCGGTCGACCCGCGCTTCTGGCACCCCGAGCAGTCGCCCTTCACCCTCAAGTACTCCCTCGGCATCGGACCCAACGTGCCCGCAGGTACGCCAAACACGACACACCGCACACGCACCGCACACGCTCACCGTATGGGTGCATGACGAGTCAGGCAACTACTCGCTGGGCTTGCTGTTCGCGGACGCGCTCATGGCCTCG